GGTTCTTCATCACTTTGTGATGACCAGGTTTGTCCTAGAAGTACTTCAGTGGTGTTTTTAGTGCTTTTTAAAAGACTTACTGTATATTCTCTTAAAATTTATTCTCTTTTATGGCCTATGCTTTCTAAAGATAGTATTTGTTTACCATAGTTAGAAAAAAACTTTTGGATTTAACTTTGCAATTTGTATTTTTATCTTAGCTTCATGCTGAACAGAAAAAAAGTCAAATCTGAGGAGCAAACATGAACATACTCCTAATAAGAGTGGAGGGAAGAAGTAAAAGTGAGGTGGTAGTAACGGGTCATAAAAAGAAGAGTGGCCAGGTGCAGTGGTGCACACCAGTAATCCCAGCGACTCAGGAGGCTGAGGCAGAAGCAAGTTCAAAGCCAGGCTCAGCAACTTAGCGAGGCCCTATGCAATTTATCAATATCCTGTCTCAAAATAAAAAGGACCGGGGATGTGGCTCAGTAGTAGAGTATCCCTGGGTTCAGTCCCTAGTACCCCAAAAATAAAAAGAAGGTGGGTTTCCTGGTTGAGGATTGAATGATTTTTCCTTTTTCTTAGTCTCCCTAATTTGTGGATTCTGTATTTATTCTGGTTGGATAGTCTGCTATGTATAAATATAGCCCCTTCTTTTCTTTTTTTTTGGTACTGGGGAGTGAACCCAGGGGCACTTTAACCACTGAACCATATCCCTAGCTCTTTTTTTTTGTATCAGAAGGATGAAAAAGCTCAAGTGATATAACATGAATATGTAATATCTAGTTCTCTCTCTTGTTTATTTGATGCTGTTTTAGAAAACACACACTCTGTGGTTTGTTTTCTCTAGAATTTTGATCTAATTATTACTAAATTCATGGATTTATTCTGGAATTGTTTAGAAGCTTGAAGTTAAGGCTTTTTAAGTTACCAGTATTTGTAGTATTCTGCTGAAGGAAACTTCAGTGTTTTGTAGTAAAGGCCAACTTGAACCTTACAATGAGCCTTTTTTGATTTACTGATTCATAGACTAACTTTGCTTGATACTTAGTAGAAATGTGGAGAGTGTTCAATAGTTCAAATATGACTTAAAGTCATTTTTTGCCTAAAGTTCCCGATACTGATTAGGGCTCTATTAAGAATATCATGAAAAATGTGGACCGTCTTCATGGAAAAATACATATATTTCCATCTACACACTCACTTGAATATTTTGCCGATAATTTCAAGGGGCTTCCAATACCTCTGCAAGCATTTAGGCTTATGGAGTTTAAGGAATTGTTTGGCAATTAGATTTTTAATAGTCTCCCTCTGCTCCTTTTATGCAGGTGAAAGCAGCTTTCACAAGAGCTTACAATAAGGAAGCCCACCTCACCCCATATTCACTTCAGGTAATAAAGACATCTAGACCCAGCACGAGCTCAGCACTAGATTCTGAATACAATGAAGAATTACATGAAGATGACTCTCAGTCTGAGGAGAAAGACCAAGATGCTATAGAGACTGACGCTATGATCAAGGTAGTATTTGAGTAACAGATGGGAGAACTTCAAAAAAGATGTTCTTTTCTTTGTGTCACTTGCCTTGTAAATAATAGAGCCTATAGCAAGTGGCAGAGTAAGCTGAAAATGCTTCCAATGTTTTGTTTGTTGTGGCTTAGAGTGGTGAAGGGATAGATTTTATTTTTATAAATAGCTCCTTGTCATAGTGGAAGAGCCAAATGCTAAGAAAATAGGCCATTTATATGGATGGTCATATATTTTCTAAGGAAAAGTTGGATTTTTATGTATTTGGCCATTGGTATATGCTTTCTTATCTGTACACACACATTTTTGCCGCAGATGGAAACACATTTTTAACAGACGCATTTTGCCCTTCTGTTATGTGTTTTGCTGTAGTCATTGAATTGCCTGTAGAACTTTCTCAGAGCTAACTTGATCTTTCCTTGTCATTGGCTAGCAAAGAGTACAATTAGTCATGGTATCAGCTCAGTATTGACAGCTGACCAAGGCAAAGGAATCTAGTCTGTGTCCTCCTCTGTCCTTTGGTGTGTGTATGCTCCTTGCCTCTTATTTTTGTGTTGTATATGCAAAGTAGGAATAGTGATCTTTTCCATGGATCTTGTTCTGCCTTATTTAGACATAAGATGTAGTCTTCCTTTCTCCTCTTCCGCCTTTACAAAATGAGTGTGTTTAGATCTCAAGTCTGAAACTAAAAAGGAAATTCTTCATATAAGCGTTACCGTATTTGGCTGGTATGGTGGTGCATGCCTGTAATCCCAGTGACCTGGGAGGCTGAGGCAGGAGGTTTATAAGTTCAAAGCCAGCCTCAGCAACTTAGTGAGGTGCTTTCACAAGGAAAAAAAAAAAAAGGCTGGGGATGTGGCTCAGTGGTTAAGTGCCTCTGGGTTCAAATCTCTGGTACCAAAACCAAAAAACTAACAAAAAAACTTATCTGTAAATTAACTTTTGCTTATTTTGCCTTCCATGGGGAATGTATCTTAGTTTTAGATGGATAGCTTCAGTTTTTACTGCTGTCTTTGAAAAGTTTAACTAGCCTAGTTGTTGCTTAGAGGCAAGCTCATCAGAGGCAGCAGTAGTTCAAGATCTAGATGTTTGCAGCCTCTCTTCTTTTTAAATTCAGCTGCAGATAAAGATGAGATTTATTGTAGAGAGAAGCTTGTTTCATTTACTCATGAACACAGCTACTAACTATTTTGTGCATCTTTTCCCTCTAACAGAAAAAGACAAAATCTCCAAAGCCTTCAAAACAAGAAAAAGATAAGGAGTCCAAAAAAGGAAAAGGAAAAAGTTTGAAGAAATGAAACCATTTTTTCACCAACAGCCACTTTTTATCTACCCTCCTGACCAGTCCAGCTGGTCTAGAGTAAGCCTCGTTTTTTCCAGGGGAGCCATGTTTAGCATAATGGGATGACATGGTGGTCCCATTCCAAAGGCAGCACAGCTGGGATGTAACTGGTAGGCTCGTGCACACCTCTCATAGAGGTCTGTAGGACTATGTGGGTGCTCCACTGTCCCCTGCCAATCTAATTAGATTGTTGTACTTCAGATGACTGTGTATAATTAGAACCAGAAACTGCATGTGGGCTTTCGTGCCAGATTTTCATTAACAATGATAAAATCTGAGAGCAGGGATACGAAGGTGTCTTTTGTAGGTTTAAGAATTTATCCTAATGGCCTTTATAGGACCAATGCTGATTTTTTTTAAAGGTAGTTCTTATTATGTGGTGAAATTTTGTAAATAAATCAATACAAAACATTCACCACCTAGAACTGGGTATTCTTTGTACATTGTCAAGCATCTTACAAAGTATAAATTAGGAATAAAAATGTTCCACATGATACATGTACAAATTTTTCTCAAGATTGTCATCTTGTACAGCAAAATAGTATGTTGGTGTATTACTTTCCTTATTAGTTTGCAAATGAGTGGATTAAAAGCTCATTATATTCCGTACTAACCAGTTGTGTGAAACATGACTGGCAGTTGAAGAGCCAGAGCTGGAATTTCCAGCTTCCCTCCCTCCAGTGCTGACCACAGTCATGCACCTCTCTCATGGAGAGGCCCTCTTTGTTGCTAGTAGAGGGTAGGGCCATAGGATTGCCAGGCGTGCCCGCCCTTGTGCATCTCATTAGGTTCAAACCAGCAGGGCTCAGGCAGGGTTTCTTAGGCTTACTTTGGCTGTAGATGGGGTTCTGTCCTGTGATGGATCTGTTGGAACTTCAGGCTGTACCTAGAGATATGCTTGCCAGTGGCTCTGAAGGTTATGGATCTAACCTGGAATTTAGTTTTCTAGCTATTTTTTTGATCTTGTCAGAAATGCTCAGAGGTGTGTGCTGCCTCTGTGAGGTATATGCTAAAAGGAATATAAAATAAGGATAGTGTTAACTTGCCTTCAAGGACTGATAATCTTGTTTGGGAGATTGGACAAAGTTCTGGAGACTTTTGAAGTATCTTTCATGGAGATTAATTCATTATGAAAATAAAATTTTGCCTTAAGCCTTTACCCACTGAGCCATGCTCTTCTTTGTTAAAGCCAGGCTTGAAACTTTTCAGTTTCAGTGAAAGTTATTTCTCTAGTAGGGTGAAGATGGTCTTCTCATGCATATTCTTCTTGCACTTCTATTCTTTTTGAATAGCAAGTCATGTCTGCCCAGTTATTTTGTACACTCTGGAAAGGGCCCCTTTGGAGCCAGAACAAGTAGTGTCCTTTACTGTTCATTATGAATGTTCTAAACATGTGTACAAGAACATCTATTTTAGAAATGATCAATGTGCTATTTAATATATGAGGATGACAGTGTAGGTCTAAATCTTCTTTGCTGTCCTCATAAGTGGGGGATTATGTGTGGGTTTTATGTTAGTAAATTGTATTGAATCACTTTGGCCAAAGGCCTCTGGCTTGTCCTGCTGGCCATTAGGAGAGAAGGACAGGTGATAAAGCTGGAAGCATCATACAGGCAGGCTGCTTAGATGCTATAAAACATTATTGGCCCTGTGGGCCCTCGCCTCAGCTTAGGAGTGCCATAAATGTAAAACTGTGTGATTTATTCAGAGGTGACTCATTTCTGTTAGCTGTTTAGACTTTGGTGACATTGGCTAGGATGGCAAGGAAGCATATACTGAAGTTGCAGGAAAAGTATGGTCCCTTGCAGCCTATTTGTGTGGTGTACATGATACGAGGAAGGAACTGTCACACCGCCTTGGGAAAGATTCCAAGTAATGGGTGTTTTTAGGAGAAGTCAAACAATTTGTGACAAATTCCGTAGTGTGCAGAATGACAAAAATTTTACTGTGTTTTGATTCTGGGACTGATTCTGCTAAAAGCCTTGATTTGTATGAACATATTTCAAGATTTTTTACACTTAATATATATGTACTATCGAAACTTCACAATGTGCTTGAAAGCTACCTTCATCATCTCTTTTTCTGTCTTTAACTCCAAGAAAACAGTACAAATATCTAGTCAATAATTTTATTTTAAAGGAGATATTCAAAATATAAAAGTAATCAAAAACTAAGTATTTACAATTACGTTATAGGTTACTATTAAAATGTAAACTTTGAAGAGGAAATATACAAAGTATAATAAACAACACTATTATATGTCACTTTTGCCAAGTGCTGACCTGGAGAGGTCACCTCTGTTTCTTTTTTGTGTATCTATGAAGAATCATCTCTTAAGTCCATTGGGGTGGAAACAGTCTCCTGTGGAAAAATTACTATCTTCTCAGGAACACTGTATCTAGAAAAGACAAACACATGCCTTCAGAAGGGTTTCAGGTAATTACTAGCATTTAATAATCAAGCCACATTCTGCTTATTTCTGAACTATGGAACAAGAACACTACATTCAAGCTAGAAATTTCCAGTCTATAATCAGTATTGAGTTTCAATGCTGGCCTTGTGACTGACTAATGTGTGGCAAGCTTCTAAGCCTTTATTGTAAATTGAGAATGATGCTGATGACAGCCATACTGGGAAGAATGAGAAAATGCAGAGTGAATCCTCAGCAAACTACAGAGAACATATATACTGTTCTTTTCTTCCTGAAATTAAACAGTTAAAGATTGCTTATCTAAAGGAACCAGTGAACCATGGCTTCAACCAATATTCATTGTTTAAAAGACAACAGTGACATTTTAAAAAGACAGTGCATGATCATAACTCACTGAAGACACTCACTGCCAGGAGCTGTGACTTAGCATGGTTTAAGGACTCAAAAGTTTTTATAAAATATATTCAGTTTTAATGTAGGGACAGTGTTTGGAGAGATTCTGTGGAGGTTTATTAAAAACAGAAGTATGAGAGATGTAAATCAGCCGTCCTGTTGGTAACAATTATAAACCTGAGACAAAATATAATAAACAACTATTCAAAGGCCCTGGAGAACCACCAGAAACAGGCAGAACTTGGAAAGGTCAACTCTTGAATGCTGCTGGCTAAGTGTCATATTTGCATGGCTTTTCACCTGAGGGTAAGTACACAAGGCATGGAATGGCTAGTACAAATTAGCTTGGAGTCAGAGAATAGATTCTGTGGATGCCAGAGCTACTGGAATCTGAGGGGCATATTCAAAAAATGGGGTTGCCTCAAAATCTGTAAACTCTACACAAATCCTTAAGTTTTATAGGTTTAAAATAGGTTCTCAAAAAGCTAGTGAAAAGCAATAGCTTAAGATCTGAAATAATTAAGTGGAAAGTTTAGCTGCTGGACTGAGTTTGGAATTTGAATTTAACTGCTGGTTAGAATAATAATCATCATTTTCTAAGAGCAAATAAAGAATCACAGAGTTCTAAAATATATCTGTAATGTCCAACATACAGTATTACTGAATGGTGAGAAAAACACAACATGTGACAGGTAACTAGAAGAAAATAGAAGACAATCCTGAGGTTATACAGATGTTGAAATAACAGACTTTAAAACAGTTATTTTATATGTTCAAAGGCATTTATCATAAGGAATGACAGGTGTGGGAGTTCATAAAAATGGAAACTAAGAACAATCTAGAACTGAAAGTACAAAATTTGAAGTGCTTTTACCAATACAGTCAGTGAACTTGGATATAGATCGAAACAAATTGATAAGGTAGTCAAATACAGGTACAAGTGGAGTCCTAGAAAAAAAAGATAGAAAGGGATAGAAAAACTATTTGAAGAAATAATGGCCCAGGATTTCCAAATTGATGAAAAAATAAACATAACAGATCCAAGAAGCCTAGAAAATCTCAAGGTGAATAAAAACAAACACACTGGGCTGGGGTTGTGGCTCAGTGGTGGAGCACTCGCTTAGCATGCGTGAGGCACTGGGTTTGATCCTTGGCACCACATAAAAGTAAACAGATAAAATAAAGGTATTAAAAAAAAGATATTGTGTTCAACTACAACTAAAAAAATTAAAAAAAAAAACCACACCTAGTCAAATTCTAAAAACAGAGAAGGTATTGAATGCAGCCACAGAGGAAAATGGTATACATAGGGAACAACGATGGACAAGTATCTTTTAAGTACTGTAAGAAATAAACAACAACAAAACCCCCCAAACCAGAATTCCTTATCAAGTGAAAATATCCTTCAAAATTGAAGGAAAGTAAAGACAGAGAAATAATCACTAACAAACCTGAACTTGAAAGAAGTGCTATAGGAAATTCTTTAGGCTGAAAGCAAATAATACCGTGTGGAAATCTAGATTCAGAAATGCAAGAATATCATGGAAGTGGAAAATAGGTCGGCAAGTATAAGGTTATATCCATATTTTTTCTTGTAATTTCTAAGATATGATAAAGGAAAATAATATCATGAGGTTTATAAGTGTGTATGTATCTCTATATATATATGTATATTTGTGACATAGGCTACTGACCAAGTAACAAGTTTTGCAAAGGTATATAGATAAAAAGGTCAACAGAGGAATCAAGTGAAATACTTAAAAAAAAAAAAAAAAAAGAATTGGATTATATGAATAGAAGGCAAGACAAAAATAATGAAACAGTATACCTGAATTCAACATAACACTTGAAAAAGAAATTAGAACAAAAAATTACAGACCAGTATCCTTCATAAACTTAGACACAATATTCTCAGTATAAGCAAAATAATCCAGAAGTACATAAAAAGGGAAATATATCATGATCAAGTGAATATATCCCCTAAGTAAAAGTTGATTTTAACACTCAAAATCAATATAATTTATATTAATGGAATAAAGGGGGATAAACTTATCATCTTAGTTAATACAGAAAATTCATTTGACAAAATTCAAAACTCAGCCAACTAGGAATAAAAGGAAACTTTTGTAATTAAGATAGAAGACCTCTCTTTAAATTTTTTTTTTCAGTTGTCAATGGACCTTTATTATTTATTTATTTATATGTAGTGCTGAGAATTGAATCCAGTGCCTCACACATGCTAGGCAAATGCTTTACCACTGAGCTACGACCCCAGCCCCATAGAAGGCCTCTCTTAAAAACCTTACAACTAATCACAATGGTGAAATACTGAATGCTTTCTCCCAATACCCGCAATAAGACAAAGATGTTGATTTTACTACTTTCATACAACATTGTACTAGAGATCCTAGCTAATGCAATATGGGAAGAGAGAGAAATAAAAGTCATAAATATTAGAAAGGAAGAAAATTTTTTTTTGTCTGTTGACATGCTTATTTACATAGACAATCTGAAGGACTATACACTATGACATAAAACATAAATTTAGAAAAAGCTGGGCATGGTGGCACACATGCCTGTAATCACACTATTTGGGAGGCTAATGCAGGGGTATTGCTAAATCAAGGCCAGCCTGGCCAATTTAGGTAGACCTTGTTTCCAAATAAAAGGGCTGGGGTACAGTGGTAGAGGGCCCCAGGTTCAATCCCTAGTACTAGGGTAGGAGGCAGGCTGCAAGATGCAAGGTCAGGATACAAAAATCCACTGCATTTTTCCATACCAATGGAAAATAAAAAATTCCATATCAAAGTCCTTGTGAATAAATTTAATGAAAGACTCCTGTACCTAAAGTTACATTGTCAAAAGGAATTTCAAGATTTTGAAATAAATGTACATTAAAGATGTCAGTTCTCAAAATGGTCTACAGAATCAATGTAGTTTTGGCAGGCAGAATTCTAGAGTGACCCCCGAGATTCCCACCCTCAGTGTACACGTCCTATCTTGGCTCTTAAGTGCGGGGAAGGTCTTGTGATTGTGGAAATAACAATGTTTGTCTATATTACATGAGGGATTCTGTAGGTGCAGTTAAGGTCCCCAGTCAGTTGACTGAATTAATCAATAGGACTTTAACTTAGGTGGCCTGACCTAATTAGGTAAGCCCTTTTAAGAGGGTTTAGACTTTCCCTGAAGGGAAGTTGTACATTGGAGAGATGTCCTTTGCTGGGCTTTGAAGCATAATTTCATGTGTCAGGAAACTACCTCTAAGTGCTTAGGGCTTCAGTTCTCCAATCATGTACAACAGAATTCTGCTAGTGGTGAACCTGGAAGAGGACTTGAAGCCCATGAGTTCCAGCCAACACCATGACTATAGTCTTGTGAGACCCTGAGCAGAAGGCCCAGCTAAAGCTATGCTTAGACACTGACTCACTGATAATAAGTGTATGTTGTTTTAGGATGCTGTTTAGCAGCAACAACTAAAGGAAATCCTAATCTTAATTTGATAAGCTGATTAAGATATTATAAAGATAAAAAGACCAAGACTGGACAAAATAATCTTGGGAAAAAACAATAAAAGTTGGAGCATCCACAGTATTTCAAGACTTTAATATACCACTATAAACCTAAAATAATTGAAACAATGTAGTGTTAAAATAATGAACAAGTCCATCAGTCTAAAAACAGCCACAATTAAAACCTAACTGATTTTCAGTAAAAGCATCCAAGTAGTTCAATGAGGAAAGGAAAGACCTGCTAACAGATGGTATTAGAAGACTGAATCTGTGTCTACTTGGTGTGTGTTGGGGGGGTGGGACAGCCCCTCCTCATTATAGACAAACATCCTCTCAAGATGAGTCACAGATCTAGAGTTTCTATAAGAAAACAGGAAAATGTGTTCCTAACTTCAATGAGCAATTAAAAATAAGGGTAGGACACAGAATAACTATGAAATTAAATAACTGATAAACAAATTCATTAATATCTGCTATCCAAATGCCCATTCAGAAGCAGAAAGCCAGAGTGGGAGGAAATATTTTCAAACATGTTTGATGAACAATTTGTGACTAGAATAAATAATTTTGACAGTTCAAAAAGATAACAACCCCTATGATTATAGATGTCAATTTGTTTCACTATAGTAAAAAGTTAAAAGACAGATAACCCAGTGCTAGTGAAGATAGAAGAGTCTTCTCAGTGAATATATGGGACAACTGGATTATCTACACGGAAAAGGAGGAGGATCCATACCACTTAATGGGTCAAAGATGACCTCAATGTAAGAGTAATGGTTATGAATTCCTAAAAGGAAACATAAGTGTAAATTTCATGACCTTGGATTAAATAATAGTTTTTTAGATATGACAGCAGTCAAAGAAAGAAATAAATTGGAATTCACAAAATAAACTTGTGACTCAGATATTAAAGAAGTGAAAAACAAACAAACCATCCCAGGAGTAAAGTATTTGCAAATCATATCTGATAAAATGTATTTAGAATATATTCTAAAAGAACTTATAACTCAACAGCAAAATAAATGGGCGAAGGACCTGTATATCTTCAAAGAAATAAACAGGAAAAGAGATTCCACAACACTTGCCATTAAGGAAATGCAAATCAAGATCTTTACACCCAGCAGGATGATTGCAATCAAAGGGCAGATGGTAACAGGTATGAGTGAGCATGTGGAGAAACTATTCCCATCGCTGATGGGAATGGAAGATGGTGCATCCCCTGTGAAGAGTCTGGAGTATTGGAGAACAGCAGAAAGGTCAATGGGCTGCAGCATAGTGAGCAAGAGGAATAATCTGAGATGAGACAGGAGGAGGCTGGGGCCGGCTCACCACCTGTAGGCTCTTCTAAAGCCACTGATGGGTTTAGGAAGGGAACTAGATGCTGGAGGTGGACTGATGGGGGTGGGGTAAGGGTGTGATGAATCAAGGTCACCTCTCCAGTTCACATCCTGACCAGCTGAGTGGAGGGAGCTGCCACTGGCAGAGGTAGGGAAAGGTAGGGAAGACCTGGAGAGAACAGGTTGTGGTCAGAGACCTGGAGTTTCCTCCTAAGGTTAAGTTTGAGATTCTTTGTCAATTACAATAAAAGAATATTTTCTTTTAGTAAAAGAATCTCATAATTTTTAGTAGGGCTTTTGGCTTCCAATCTAGAGACTACATTTTCCTTCCTCCTTCTGCACTATGTAGCCATGTGAGTAAATCCTTGTCAATGGAGAACAGCACAAGTATGTGTAGCTTCCACTTGACAAAACTGAGACTTGGAAAGAAAAACAAATGGGATTTTTTTCAAATCTCTGGAAGCCAAAACTTTTTAGAGCATATTCTCCTGAATTATATCAGTAATATCCACTTTCATTAGGTGGCTCTAGTTTTAATGAACTCATCAGAAAGAATTCTATGTGACTTGATACAGCGAGTTCCAGTTGCTTTCCGTGATTCTCCTTGGCCAAATAACTTTTGTCACTGGCGACTACATTGCCTGCATTTTAGCATTAAAAAAATACATCAAAGGTTTCTTGTCCAATTATTCAGATCTAAAAATACATGATACACAAAAAGAAGTGAACGCCATTACCAAGTACCGGCTGCTCTGGAACATGAGAGAATGGTGTCTTTACCTGCACGTGCTGCCCACTATTCCATCTCTGTTCGTAGGTACTTGGTACAGTCTGAAATGTTCTTCAGCTGAGCAGAATCTAATCTTTCTGAACACATAGGACATGTGCTTTCATGGTTTAACATGCTGTTTTGGGGAGGGAAATTCAGAGTAAGATAGTTGTACAATATTCCTTTACCTTTGAGTATTCTAGTGTAAAAAGCAGCTATTTTCTATCTTTACCTCATAACTCATGCAATTTAAGAATTAGAAATATTTATCAGGTGTGGTGGTGCACACCTGTAATCCCAGTGGCTTGGGAGGCTGAGGCAGGAGGATCATGAGTTCAAGGCCAGTCTCGCAAAAGCAAGGTGCTAAGCAACTCAGTAGGTGAAGTTTGAGATACTGTGTCGATCAATAATAATAAAAGATTATTCTTTTTCCTGAGCCACATCCCATCCCTAGTCCTTTTTATTTTTTATTTTGGAACAGATTCTCGATAAGGTGCTGAGGCTGGCTTTCAACTTGCAATCCTCCTGCCTCAGCCTCTACCTCAGTTTTCTGAGTCACTGGGATTACAGGTGGGCACCACCATGCCTATTGAAAGATCCTCTTAAAGATAATGGTCCATAGGTCATAGAAGTTTCTTTCAGGAAGACAATTTGGGTCTTTAGGAACATGAAACATAAGGAGACTTCAGAATAAAGAAGTGAAAAACAAAAGGCCTGTTTTTGTATAAAATTGTGACTGTGAAAGGATGCACACTTACGTCTTAAATTCTGAATATAGTGCAGGAAATTCACAGTGTGGACACACTGTCCAGTCATTTTTCAACATGTGCCGGCCCTGGAAACAGTACATTTAAGAGTAAAATTCATCTTTGTTTTAAAAATCCCAGTATTAAATTATAACAATTACAATTAAAGCCAGGTCTCTAAATTATGAAATTATTGCTATTTCCTATAATTGCCTAGAAAGAGATGGTATCAGAAGTACTAAAGCTAAATTTTACTTACCAGATTCATGTTTAAAGACAGAATAATCTTCATTTTTTTTTTTTACATCATTACCTGAATTTATTTTCCTTTAAAACAGAGTTTACATTAGTCCAGTGATGAACAAATAATTTTTTGACAGTTGGTTGTAATAAAAACTACCAGTGGGCTGGGGATGGGGCTCAGTGGTTGAGCGCTTGCCTAGTACGTGTGAAGCAATGGGTTCAACCCTCAGCACCACATAAAATAAATAAATAAAATAAAGGCTAAAAAACCCCACAATTATTAAAACAACAACAACAACAACTCTGAACTACCATTTATGAAATGCTGCAGCATGTCAGATGTTGTTGTAAGACCTTGTTAGGACATGTTATCTTTTCAGTCTAGTCGATCTCAGTAGGAAAGTCTTATTACAGATGCGTGTAGCAAGGTACAGGAAATGGCACCATGTTGTAGTCTAATAAGTGTCAAGAAAAACTCTGAGCCCACAGCTGCTGATCCTCATCTGCCCAGCTGCCCTGCAGTGCCTTCTGGACAGTGCCCTAGCTTACATATGCTTTGAACATAACTTCCAACTTTGCTGACCATGAAATTGTATGCTAAGTGTGGCAGGAAATTGGAAGAATAGGATTATTTCAGAAATGAAGAAAATGCAGAAGTATATCAAGTATTCAAATGAAAAGGGAAACTATTATCATAAAGAAACTTACTGTTGCAATGCAATAGGGGATGTTGTTTTTACATCCAGGACAGAGGAGTTCACACTCTGGGAGAAGAAATTCACAGTATGGACACGGGGTCGTGGCCTCTTCTGTCTCAGATGTATCAGGTCTCCTGTGGAGGAACCATCACATGTCATTTACAAACACATTTCATAGAAGATGGATAGCAAAAAGCACACTTGGAAAGGACTGTGTAACTACCAGCTTCTTCATAGGCAGACTCAGAGATTGGAGATGCTTCTCAGCTTCCTGCCACTCTTGATCCCGCTGTAGGGAAGAGAGAGAACCCAGGATTGCCCAGGTTCAGGAGTTAAAGAGTTCACAGCACTTAAATGGCGGAAAACACAGGGAGGACTTGCTGTGTCTCTGTAGCAGTGAGCTTGATATTTTCCCTCTTTTCCTTTTTGTGTAGCTGAAGGGTTTTTTTAACGGCTTTCCAGCACTGTTCCAACAGAACTTGGTGACAATGGGAGAGTTCTAATTTTGTGCTGTCTAATACTGTGGCCACGAGTCATATACTTGATATATGTGAGGAACTAAGTTTCAAAGTTTATTTCCATTTTAATTAATCTAAATTTAAAGAGCCATATGTGGCTAGTGGGTGCCATTTTAGACCACACAGCTGTGGACCACTCACTCATGTGTGGAGAATGACAATCGTCTCCTCAAAGCCAGGGCCTTGGCCAGCCTGCTCTACCTGTCCTCATTTTGCAGTTCTCCCCTTCCACGCTGGAAAGCGTACTGGGTCAGACTGATTTGGTGTGAAGCCATTAAACTTGTTAGCTTTTAAAAAAGGGTGTGTTCAGGTAGGCCCACCCAGTTTAAAAGTTCTTTGCCATGAGGATGGTCCCAGGGCCATCTGAAACTGAAGTGTTACCTGCTTCCATTTTCCTTGGCTGAGGCCTGGGTCACGTTTCCGGTACAGCTGGGTCCCTGGTCATAACTGGGACTAATAGGTATCCTAAGTGTCATCACTACTCTGGACAAGTTGTTTAGAACTGCTGCATGATTGCAACTAATCTTTCCTTTTGTAGACGGTATTGCTACTTTTTCCTAGATTTCTGACCAGGCCACTAGCCTGCTTTCTGAAGCGAGGACATGCCTTATGTGCCTTTGGAAATGCACAGGATTTGGACTCGACTGGCAAAGGGCTGTTACAGAGTTTCTCACACTGAGAATGTCCACTAGTTTATTTATTCCCCTGGCAGATGCTCCTTGCTAGTAGCCATTCATTCTCTCCTTCCTTGGTAAGAGAACTTGTTTCCACTCAGCAATATGCTGTGTGGCAGAGCTAGCTAAAGAGGTGAACTGGGAGTCCTGAGGACGATGCCTTCCTGAATTGCCAGGCAAAAGCCCTTCCTTTAATTCTCTTACTTCTTCCCTCCTTGAATGGGAATGTGATGTCTGTAGGTGTGGCAGCTATCTTGCAACCAAGAGGAAGAAACTTCCGTCTTGTAGATAGCACAGCTGGATCTGTGCTTGGTGGTATCAGGACACAGTGGCACCAGCCCTAGACCATGAAGCCTTGTGCAAGAGTCACATAAATCCTGATTTGTTTCAAGACATCGTTGGGTTTTCTGTGCTTTGTAGCTGAATATAATCCCTTACCTGCTGTCTACTTTCTTATTGAGCCTGCGCATTAGCAGCTCCATTTTGAAAAATACCTCTGGGCAATGGGATTAGAGAGTAGAAATGGCTGTCTCTGCCTACCTGACCATTGCCTCGATCTTCTTTTTGTACTTGGCATCTATTTTGTTGCGGTACTCAGGCCTCATCAGCATAGCTGCAAAACTGAAAGCAGAGTTCTTCAGGCCTGCCCTGTGACACTCGATCACAGTAGACGTCAGGATGGGCACAATGTCTGCAATACAAATGCAACAGAGAAAGCACATGGCTCCTGTTCTCAGGGCACGGGCGTGACTCCATCCCTGGTTGCTAGAAAAACAGGATCACACTCACCCAAGCTTAGCTTTTTCTGCAAAGACCCACATGTGATATGTTTAATAAGGAAAGGACACCACCGTGTAGTCAGGCTAACTGATGTCTTTCCCTTGATTAACTTGTTGCTCTGGGACACTGGGACCAACAACCCTTGAGGTGACACTGGGGTGAGGCTCCTTCCACACCTGAGATTTTTTTGCATCTGACAAGATTGCTGATAAATGGGTCTGGGAAGTTAATAACTTTATGCACTAATCTTTCTGCAGGCACCTAATTCTTCCTTTAGGACAGATAATCAGAATTACTGACTCAAAGAACATGACCTTTTAAAAATGACTCACTACTAGTAGACAAACTGCTTCCTAGAAAGGCTACATCAGCTTCATTCCCACAAACATGCATGAGAGGGCTTGTTCTGTCCTACCCTTTGTCAAATGGTATTAAGTCCTTTTCTGTAACAAAAATACATTTAGAGAATGGGTTGGTGAGATTGTGACCCATAGGCCAGATCTGGCCCTCTGACTTTGGTATAACCCATGAAGTAAGAATGGTTTCTACATTTTAAATGGCTGAAAAGAGATCAAAAGAATAATATTTTGTGGCATGTTAAAATTTTATGAGGTTCCAGGATTTCTGTGTCTAAAAAATAGTTCTGTTGGAACCCAGCCCTGCTCACTCATATATGTATTGTTCATGCAAAAAATGTCAGAGTCGAATAGTAGTGAGGGACAAAGGGCCCACAAAACCTAAAACATTTAACATGTGATCCTTTATGGGAAAAAAATAGGTAGATATCTGTCCTATTATGGTACAAAGTCTTATCCATTTAAGAATATTGTCACGTCATATCTTTTAGAATAACAGAACCTTTTTCAGAGACCATGTCCTACTGTGGTTGAGAACACAGAATCAAACTTTTTAACTGACAATGTGATCTTGGGCAGATGGATGTTATTTTTCACTTTCTTTGCCCCAGTTTGCTTATCTATAACATGTGGAGAATGATCCCCATGTGTACAGAAGAGTAGCCACGTGTTCATGCTGGAGACTTTATCCTTAGACTAGACCTGCTTGAATGGTTGGCCCTTGACTTGTATCTGGGAAATTGGATTTAGTGAGAGATCCCACCATTTCCAGAACTGATGAGTGGCTCCGGGTGCCTAAAAATCTTTGTACAAACAATGTGGTTTATGTGGATATTTGCTTCTTAGGAGGCTGGAAATTTTGGTACATGCCAGGCAGGGGTTACCTGTATACATAGTATATAAAACACTGGCTGGCAGCTGAGTCTGTGAGCATAGATCTCAAACTGCACTAGGGTGGACGGGTGGATAGTGAGCTCTTCACACAGTACTTACGTGATGGAAATTTGCTAATGTTGTTGGCCACCCGAATGAGCATGCGTGCCCCTTTCATGTGATCTCCATTTTTAACATGAATCTGAAATAAATGATACATTTTATTTTTACAGGCAGTCCCAAATCATGCTTTGTTCCCCTAAACAACAACAACATTATTATTATTATTATTATTGGTACTGGGGATTAAACTCAGGAGCCTCATCCCACTGAGCCACATCCCCAGCCCTGTTTATATTTTATTTAGAGACAGGGTCTTGCTGAGTTGCTTAGGGCCTCGATAAGTTGCTGAGATTGGCTTTGAATTCACAATCCTCCTGCTTCGGCCTCCCGAGCCACTGGGATTATAGGAATGTGATGCGCCACCTCACCTGGCCCAAATAACTTCTTAATTGTGGCCCAAGATAGGGCCATCACGAGGTCCTTGCAGCCTTTCCTGGATGATACCACTGGCAATTTCTTCCTTACTGCCTCTCCTTCAAACGGCTGCTGCCTACCACGGTGGCCTTAGGTCTCACCTCTTCTATGCTCTGCATTTTACTCTGCCCTAGACCCTTGACATGAGTTCACATCCCTGGTCCATCTCTTACTGGACATTATTAATACCAACTTTGCCAAGTTGGTGTGAGAGGAAGGAAGGGAGGGAAGGAAGAAGGAATCTGTTAAAGGTAGAGGGTGTTGCTCATGGCGGGGGAAAGGGCAATGGCAGATGGAAGGTCTGAGGTGGAGGGGTGTGGGTAAGTTGAGGTAAAGCTGCAGAATTGGCAAAAGCCTGGCCAAAAAGCCATTGCAGTCACCCAGTGTGAGGTGAGGGGGCCCTTAGAGGTGGGAGAGTGGGGATGGAGAGAAGTATAGTAGTCCCCTTCATCCACGGCTTTGCTTTCTACAGTCTTAGTTACTTGTAATCTACCTTGGTCCAAAAATATGCACATTTGTCTACTCTTGAGTGACCACATTCACATAGTTAGAATATATTGCTATAAATGTTCTATTTTATTAGCTATTGTTGATCTCTTATCTGAAGCAGGGGAAGCCCTTCCTGCTTATTCTCCACCACCTTCCACTGACTCTGGGCCTCAACACTGCCCAGCCGAGCCACCGACACCTGAATGTCCTAGGCTGTCATTAAGCCACGCTCCCTATCCCAGCTCTGAGGAGAAAGCTGCACCAAAGCCAAGTCCACATTTCTCTTTAAATGTGTGTGGATGAATCTTTCTTCAGTCCTTTGTGTCAAAGATACTTGTGACATTTGTGCATCAATGTATTCTTCCTTGAGGGGGTTTGATAGTTTGCTTTAGATACTACAAGCAGTCAAAGACCTAGAAAGCCTTGGAAATGCTTGGTGAGAGATTAGAGCTGAGGGGAAGAGTCACAAGGGTGCTCTCCAGCGAGAAGGGAGGAGAATGTCTGGATGGAATGGAAGGGATGGGTCAGCCCTGGGGGCCAGAGAAGAAAAGGACTCAAGCAGCATTCCATGGCGTATGGTGGTGGACAGCCTGGAGGAGGAATCCCTCCCTATTTTTTGCACCTCAGCTCCAACTGTTTCTAGCCTCCCTCAACACCTAAGGTTCCATTTTGCTTATCTGTGCTCCCAGGACACTGGCGTCACCTCTCACGTTGGCAGCTGAGGAAAACCTCCCTGTTTGCAGCCACTTTCTCTAGGAAAGAAGGATCCTGCTGCTCTGAAGGGAAGTGGACTCCCCGGGGGCTGCGTGTTGGAGTTCTAAATGCCTTTTCCTATCAATCAGCGCTGAGGACCCAGCTGTCTAATATGGTAGCCATTAGTCACATGTGGCATTTAAACTTTAAAATCACATGAAGCTAAAAATTGAGTTTTAGCAGTTACACAAGCTCCACAGACAGGCTGTCAGCTTTTGTACTGGACAGCACAGGTATGGAACATTCTATCACCACAGGAAATTCTACTGGACAGTGCTGACATAGTAATCAGGGTTTAAATCGGTTTAAATTCAAGGTTACATGAGGTCCTGTGGACTGGCCAGAGAACCAATTTATTACTAATATGCAAGGTACTTTGACCTAAGTGAAAATTTGGGAAAATACAAGTTAGATTCTGTCTGTACCTTTACAGAGATATGAGTGTACATATGGACATACCCATGCAAACATACAACAGTGATTTATATTATATGAATAAGTACTTGAGATTTGCATGATCTATTTTGTTTCTATTGAAAATTGCTGATTAAAACCAATGTACAACTGGAAATAAATATGATCTAACTTGGTAAAACATTTGAAAATGTATGTACATGCATTTGAAGAAGCACAGAGGATATGTACAACATAATGTTAACACTTATATCTGAGTGACAGACTTCAAGCCTGAATGATTGTTTTCACCAAACTTTCTATATTCTCAAAAAATTTTAATGCATATTATTTTTCTATGTAGCTGAAAATGAAACAATATTAAAAGCAGTGAAATTTTGTAAACTCTACTAATTTAGAATTAATAAACTAACAATTACTGGATAAATAAAAATGTTTTAAGTAAATTTGTTTTGTGGGCACAGCTAATATACCTATATGCTTCCAAATAAATACAATATAGAAAGACGCACACAGCAAAGCCTGCTCCTTTCTTCCCTCCTGTCTGCTGGGGCTTGGGTCCTCTCACGCCCTGCCACTTTAGCAAGCCAGTTCTACCAGTCTCTTCAGTATGTCTCTCATTATTCTGCAGTGAACAGCTAGGCATTCTTTCATTTCACACATAAGGCAGCGTATTGTAGCATTATTCTGGGTCATTCCAAGGGCCTCACCTTCACCAGTATATAACTGTGCAGGATCATGAGGTTGGTGGCCATCTCAGAGGGAATTTTGATCTTCTGGGATTTAAGTTCTGCGTACATGCTGAAGAGAACATCATGTGCATTCCGATAGTTTCCTTGAAAAAAGGCAGTAAAATGACATTACTGTAAAGGATGTCATCTGAGGACTTTTGTGGGCCCTCATTTTATAAGTGAAATTGCTAATCTTGTTTTTAGTAATATTTTAACCTTTTCTTCTACACAGTAACCTAGTAGTGTTTCCTGTTCCATGTTACTAACATCCAGCCAGTCCCTCAGGAGAAGATGCCCTCCCAGATGATTCACTCTTCCTCAGGGCAACCACCTGACCCCAAAGTCTACTGGGTCATTGAGTTCTGAGGCCTTCAGATTCTGTCCGGCTCCCTTCCTCGTGCCTGCCCTGAGTGCCTCTCATTTTCTTCTGGGCAGTAGTGTGCTAACCAGTGTTTCTCCTGAGCTTCATTCAGATGTCAGTGTCTTTCCAAAACTTCATGCCTACCCAGAAGCCTAACACCTCCAGGTCACACCCTTGCAAAAACCCTCCAATGTAAATTCCTGAGCAGAGGACCTGAGCCCGGCAGATCTGCCCCCCACGCCCAGGGTCATTGCCTTCTCCTGCTGCTGCCCACCTGGGGATGTGATAGCCTGGCTGCCCCTCTCCCAGCACATCCCCTTACTCCTCATCTCTCTCCTTTCCAACTCAGCTGGAGCCCTTGTTGCCACCCTCATTACCATCCTCCAACTGTCACCACCCTAGCCTTTGGGATGCCCTGGACCGCCTCTCCTAGTGTCTTTTTTATGATATTTCTCTTTTCTAGTCTAGCACTTGTCAGCCTGAATAACAACTCAGAATTCACTTTTTTTCTCCCATTGAATTGTGAACCCTCGAGGGCAGAACTGTGGCCCAGTTCTGTATCCCGAGCTCCTAGCACACATCTGACAGGTGTGAAGTTAACATAAGGTGAATAAAGTACTGTTAGTTTATTGCATATTTCCTAGAATTGTGTTCCATATATATATATATATATCTAATATCTAAGATATATATATATATCTAATATCTAAGAGAACTGGCTTGCAAAAACTAGTGAAGAATTGTGACTTATTCAATAACTATTTACAAAGCATATAAGGGAACCATAGAACATTCTGGAGTTTCCATAAGTAGTCCTGTAGATCACAAAGAACCAGGTGCATAGTAATACAGTATGATTATCTTCTACCATCTGATATCTCTTACACGGTTAAGGTCAAACACATGGAACTGAAAGGAAATGCCATTGTAGGAGGGGGCTGTGGGCTGGGAAGGTCAGAGGAGTCGTCCAGAGTCAGGAACTGTAAGATTGCAAAGGACGGCTGAACGAGTACCCCACAGGAGAAGGGTCAGTCCAGTTACTCTATGTCCCTCTGTGACAGCTATTATTTCATTTCTCTGAAACCTAGAAATGGCTACTTCCTACTTTCTTTCTTTTCTTTTTGGTGCCAGGGAATGAACTCAGGGCACTCAACCTCTGAGCCACATCCCCAGCCCTATTATGTATTTTATTTAGAGACAGGGTCTCACTGAGTTACTTAGCACCTTGCTAAATTGCTGAGGTTGGCTTTGAACTTGCAATTCTCTTGCGTCAGCCTCCTGAGCTGCTGGGATTACAGGCATGCACCACCGTGCCTGGCTATTTCCTTATTCTTTCGGATTCAAAGCAAGTCTAAATTAGAATCTGCCTACTTTTTTTTTTCTGTCAGAAAAGGGCTTGGGGCTTGATTCTACCATCTATTTGGGTAGAAAAAGAACTGTTAGGGACTGGGGCTGGAGAGGCAGCTCAGTGCTAGAGTACTGGCCTAATATGTGTGAGGCCTGGGTTCAAATCCCAGCACTATAAAAAGCCCAAACCAAAACAAACAAAATGTACATGTGAGGCACTTACCAGCAGACTGCTCTTCTCTGGCAATTATTATGGCGGTCCGGGCAGCCTCTCGGTACTGTTTTAGAGCCATGTACAAGCGGAACAGGTATTTGGCGTCCTATCATACAAACCGTTAGAGAAACATCACTTTCTTCATTAGCTAAGGGGAAAAACACCTATGATTCTACACTTACAATCACATTCATCTGCCAGTAACTGAGAATTGATACTGTTTTTAAAAACCCAATAAAGGAAAAAATAAAAAATAATTAGAAAAAAAAAAACGCAATAAAGGAATTTGTTCAGAGGTTCATATGTACCCAGTAGCCCTTTAAGTACTTAAGAAATATTAACTCTGTTAAGTCCTTTGGCCTACCCCAGGAGAAATGGTTATTATTCTAATTTCATAGATGAGAAATTGACACCATAGGAGACAGCCAGAGCCAGGGTTTGGACCATCATGGTCTGGATTCCAAGTCTCTGTTCCCAACCCTGCTTCACAGAGGATCTTTCATATATTTGGAGGGAAATGCATTCTTACACAATATACCAGTTTTCCAAGATTGAAAAAAAATTTAAAACTCATATAAATTCTCTGTTTTATAAAAATTTTCTTTGGCCTTTGATCACTTTATTCCTATCCTAGTTTGAGACTTTTTCTTTTCTTCTTCTTTTTTTTTTTTTTTTGGTACCAGGGATTGAACCCAGGGGTGCTTAACCACTGAGCCATATCCCCAGCCTGCTTAGTTTTTATTTTAAGTCAGGATATCACTAAGTTGCTTTGGGCCTCCCTATGTTGCTGAGGCTGGCTTTGAACTCATGATCCTCCTGCCTCAGCCTCACAGGCTGCTGGGATTACAGGCCTGTGCTTGAGAGCCTTTCATCATGTATTTGATGCTGCTTTCCAGGTTATTGGAATAAGTGGACATAGTGGGAGGTGGTTTGGATCAGACCAAGGACCTGTGTCCTTTGGCAAGTCAATTTAGCTTCTCTGGGTCTCAGTGGCTTAATCTGTAAAATAAAGGAAATGGACTCAGGCATCTACTTGCTCTCCAGCTGTGAGATGTACAGCCCTCTTTAAATCAGTGACTTGAGTGGTCAAGCAGCATTCCTTGACCATAAAAGCAAGAGGGAGAACCGGTTCCTGGCATTCTGAAAGGCTAGCAAGTCTGTTCTCACCAGGACAGGGAGAAGACCAGTTTCTGCAGGAACTCTCAGGGAGTATTTTGAAAAGATAATCTTTGCAATTAATTTCTACTTTAAAGTGAGTTGTTTCTATGCTTAATATGATTTTTGTTAATGTCCATAATTTAAAAAATTTGAACAAAGCACACTGATTTTTAGGGACCAGTGAAACAGCGATTGTTTTCATAATTCCCAGCTAAACTAAACTAAAACAAAAGTCAAGGTGCTGGGGACTGTTTTCTGGAGGGATGCAGCTATTTCCCAGGTGGACCGCTAACTTGAAAGAGTAAATATACATGCTGGGCGCGGTGGCTCACGCCTGTAATCCCAGCGGCTCGGGAGGCTGAAGCAGGAGGATTGCAAGTTCAAAGCCAGCCTCAGTAATGGCGAAGCACTAAGCAACTCAGTGAAACCCTGTCTCTAAATAAATATAAAATAGATCTGGGGATGTGGCTCAGTGGCTGAGTGCCCCTGGGTTCAATCCCTAATACCCACCCACCCACCCACCAAAAAAGAGTGAACATCCATAACATCCTTCAACACTTGGGTCTGTCTAGATGAGCTGCAGCTAATTTCAGAGACAAATTTTCAAGCCCGTGTTCCAAAGCCTTGATAGCTGATAGGTGAAAGCTGGGCCGAATGAAGACATGAGCACCCACAGAGCAGAGCCTCCCCTACCTTGGGCAGGCCGTCACTCTCCCCCATCAGGTGGTCGATCAGCTGACTGGTCAGCAGTTCATCTTTGGCTTGGCCAACCTGTTTTGTAAAGGAAAAAACCCCCAGCAAATCAGCACCTTAAACCTAGCAGGAGGGGAGAAAGACAATCATTTGCTGTGGATGTGGAATAAAAGAATACATGGAAGTATCTATAGTAAAGTGCTGGAAACATAGACTCAGAGTCTTTAGTTGCCAATAAAAATCCATTCTTAGAAACTGTAACTTTACTCAGCTGATGTTTCTTTGTACAGAGAATATGCTTCTTAGGTTTCAATAAAAAAATCTTAAGATCAGTGTAGCAACATCTGGCAAAAAAGCATCGCATCTTGAGCACAAGACCTGGGCCTTTTACGGGTGCATCTCCCTAATCAAAACAATCTGAAATCTAAAACTTTTTGAGGGCCAACATGATGCCCAAAAGAGTTTTGGATTTTGGAGCATTTCAGATTTTAGTATGCTAATTAATCTATGCCGGCATTCCAAAATCCAAAAGACTGAAATCTAAAACACTTCTAGTTCTAAGCATTTTGGATAAGCGATATTCAGCTTGCACAACATCACCCTACTGAGTGCCTGGCCCTTGCAGCGGCTCCCTGAAGACACCCCTGCAGGCGGGGCTCGGTGTCAAGGAGCAGCCACAGAGCCCAGAGGGGGTAGGCAGCTGGGAAACTTGGATGAGGTTCTGGTGGGGACCTTGGCTTACAGATCTCTTAGAAATCATCTCCACAAAGTTGAGAGTGAAACCACTGAAGTGGGGGGTATCGATCAGGAAAACAGTGTGCCATACTGGAAGGTATGATGATATATAATGCAGATCTCTTTTCCTTGTGTACATAAATGGAGGAAAGCCCACGTGAGGCTACAGTGCGAAGGAGGCCATCCACGAGTCAAGAAGAGAGCCCTCACACAGGAATGGGAAGCTAGCCCCTTGATCTTGGGCTTCCCAGGCTCTAGAACTGTGGGGAATGGATTCGTTGTTTAAGCACTCAGGCTACGGCAACCCAACTGGACTTAAGACATGAGCCTACTGATAACGATGAAATAGAAAGTACACGTACCATCTAAGAAGTCATTTTTCAAAATATGTCAGATCTATGTCTGATCAAGTATCTAAATTTAACTACTACTTAGTAGGAAATACAGGGAAATTATGCCACAAAGATGTATCAGTTAAATCTAAATGTCAGAAATTCCTCAGGAAAAATGACCCATTTTCTTAACAACTGAATGGCAGGGGCCAGGAGGTGGGGTTAGGAGATAGAGCAAAAGAGCAGAGTGGGGAGGGAGATTAAAAGAGGCATAGGGTACATCTACCAAACGTAACACAAGGACTTTGTTGGAGACAGATGTGAACTGACCTGCTGTAAAAAAGCATTTATGTGAGAGTTGGGAAATTTGACCCCTAACTGGGCATTTGACATTATCAAGAAATCATTGTTGGAGCAATTGGGATCCTGATATAGTGCTGGTGAGAACATGAAGTGGTGCAGCTGCTTTGGGAAACAGCTGTGCAGTTCATCAAAAATGTTAAACAGTTTGCATGTGGCCAAGCAATTCCACTCCTATGTAATATATCCAAAAGAAAACACGTTCACACAAAAAATTGCACACAAGTGTTGACATCAGTATTATCCATAAAAGCTCAAAAGTGGAAGCAATCCAAATGTCCAACTGATAAACATATAAACAAAATGTGATACAGTCATACCATGGAATTTCATTAAGCCATAAGAAGGTATGGAGTCCTGATACATACGACAACCTGGATGAGTGTTAGACATTAAGCTAAATGGAAGACTACACCAAGGACCATATGTTGCATGCATGATTCCATTTGTAGGAAATGTCTAGAATAGGCAAATCCATAGAAATTTAAAATGGATTATAACATAGACTACATATAATAAGTAAGATAGTGTGGTAGTGGTGAAAAGATAACTAAAATAACAGAAGAAACTTATGAATCAAAAATCAAAAATAAAATCAATTATACATATTGGTCATTTCATCTATGACAAACACTCCATGGTAATTCAGTGGAGAAAGAATGACATTTTGATAAGTGGCACTAGGTCAACTGGATAACCATATGCAAAAGAAAGATTTTTGACCCCATCTCATGCCATACCCAAAAATGAATTCGGTAGGCATAGACCTAAATGAGAAAGCTAAAATGATCAGACTTGTACATAAAAGCACAGGGGAGATACCTTCATGACCACAGAATGGACAAAATTTCTTAAATAAACAAGCATTAACTACAAAAGATTCCCAATTGGACTTTATCAAGACATAAGAATTTTTGTTCAAGACACCATTAGAAAATAAAGATAAGCCACATCTTGAATGATTTATATTGTGTGTGTGTGTGTGTGTGTGTGTGTGTGTAGTGAAAAGACTGATATGCAGGATATGTGATAAAATCCTACAAATCAGTAAGGATGAGTAGATACAATTCAAAATTGGAAAAAAGACAGAAGAATACTTCACAAGAGAGGATATTCAAATGGTCAATAAATATGAAAAGGTGTTCTATATCATAAGTCATTAGAAAAATGAATGAAAGCCATAATGAGATATCACTACACATCTATCCGAAGAGCTAAACTGAAATAGACCAATAAGTGTTGGTAAAGGAGTGACTAAAACATCTCACTAGAATGTAAATTGGTATGACCGCCTTGAAAAAAAACTGCTTGGCAGTATCCACTATTGCTAAAAACATGTATACCCTATAACTGATAGTTTTCCTGGAGGCATACCTAATAAAACTGAGTGTTATGTCCACCAAAAGGTATGAACTGCTTAAGGCAGCAGCTTTATTTATAATAAGCCCAAGCTAGAGATAACCCAAATGCCCACTAACAGTGTAAGGGATAAATAAATTGTGACATAGTTATATAGTAGACTACTACACAGCAGTGAATAAGAATGGCCCATTGCTACCTGCAACAGGAGACACATTCCCCTACATAACACTGATTCAAAGAAACTCAACACAAAAGGATACACATGCCTGTCTCCATTTGTATGAAGTTCATCACAGGTAAAACTATAAGGACAGGAGTCAGGATTGTTGCCCTGGGTGAGGGTGCTGACTGGGAGGTGACATGAGGGCGCCTTTTGTAGTAGAACTGAAGATCTGTGAGGGTCACCCAGGTTGACATGTAGGAAAATATTGATCAAGTTGTACACACAGGCTCTGTGAACGTCACTGTTATGCAAACTGCAACTAAAGAAAACCCACAGGGTCTTTCTTTTTGTGATGCTGGGGAGCAAACTCAGGGCCTCAGACCCACTAGGCAAGCACTCTACCACCGAGCTACCTGACCAGCCCAGGTTCTTATCTTTTAGACAAAGATTTTTATCCAGAATGGAAGTGATGTGATGACGGTGATCTACTTTAAAATAATCCAAGGAAAGAAGGTGGAGCATGAATAAAATAGTACTGTCCATGTGTGGGCAGCTGTCGGGTGTGGGAGTTTGTTACACTGTTTGGTCTCCTTCTGCATATATTTGGAAATTTCTTCAAAGAGTTTTTAAAAACACTGGCATTCTTGAAGGTTTCATTGTAGAGTTTACTTACAGTTTCTATTGCCATTTCTATTGCCATATTATCTTCTGAGCTAGGGCATTTCAGGAAATGTTTCAGTGCCTAAAATGGGAAACGTACAGCAATTAAACGTTTTTAGACTGAGCTCACAATAGGAAAAACAACATTTCCACATACAAATTAATTAGTTTGTGAAAAAAATCTTCATCTCACCAGGGGCCTGCACAGTGCTGGATCTTAAATATAAACTTCAAAGATTGGGTGGAATTTAAAAGAAATGGAAGGATCCAGTTAACCCTCTGAAGAATCTTATTCTGACTTTTGATGAAATGCAAATGCAAACTATGCCCTCTTGTAGGAGGAAGATCTAGTGACTTTCATTCATTCTTTCAACAAATATTTATTGATCACTTGTAACTGTATGTGGGGCTGTGGGAGATCGGTGTATAGCAGGAATGCTCTGGTGTGTGCGGCCCCGCTTCTTATGTTAGGCACCATCTAACTGGGGAGAGATCTGTGTGATGTGATAATAAAAGGAACCAATTATTTTAAGTCCCAATTGCCCAATTCCAGAACATCAGACCCATAAAGAAATTAAAAAGCTTAAAAGACAGGTGTGGCCAGTTGGTATTTTAAGTGCTCTGAGAAGCTAAGATGGTTTTGCGTGGGGACAGTCCAAAGGTGGCAGAGGTGGGAGAGGCCTGCAGGATGGATGGGTGTGTGGTTGTTGGTGAAGGGACAGAGAGGAGCCAGAGGGAGAAGGGGGTTGGTAAAGGGCTGGCTGTGAGAACCTAGTGTGGTGCTTCCATGAAACAGCTGGAGCCAGATTGGGAGGCTCAGGCTGGCTGGTCAAATTCTGGAAATTCCTTTTGAGTGCCAGCTGAGGAGGTGGGCCTTTTTCTAAGAGGCAGAAACAGTAAACTGTGGCCTGTAGGCGAAATTCACACACGTGTTTTCTCTGGCCTGTGAGGTATTCTGCAAATATCTGGACCCAGATTTTAAGACTGGCAGACCCAGACTTCTGTTTCTCTTGAAGCATCATATGATCTGGTATACTGCTGGACTCAGACTCCTGAATGGCCCTGATGTGCTGGAGGTGGGCAGCGGCTGTCCCCTTCAGACAAGCTACGTGCCAGCCAGCCTTGACAGTCAACACTCAGCTTCACCCCTGAGCTGAACTCATGGTGTCTCTTGTTTGGACAGTTTCCCCGCCTGGGGCAAAGCAAGGTTTGGGGAGTAATGAAATGAAGGATGAGTTTCAGGCAGAGAAACTAAAAATAGGGAAAGTAGGAAACTATCAGAATAATCAGAAGAAAGATCATCTGGGCTCTGGGTTGATGGCAGTTAGAATGAAAGGGACAGATGTGAGAGATTTTAGGAAGAGGGTGACAGTTTGTGGAGAGAGACGATTTCAAGGTTGAGTGGTGCAGCTCAGTGGGTGGTAGAGCATGTGCTCAGTGTGCACAAGGCCCTGGGTACAAACCCCTGGGCCAAGGACAACCAAAAAGGTGGACAGATCCCAAATCTGGGTGTTTGGAAGCATATTAGCATTTTAAAACATCTCCCATAATCATTCCTGTGGAGTCCAGGAATGTGTTCTTGGCAAATACTAACTCGGGAATACTGGCCACATAGCAAGAAGAATTTTCCAGCCTGAAAATGTCTCTTTTCTCCTTCAAAGTACAAGGCGATGCTTTGGTAGTCTTCGTTAGTCGTGTCTTCGGAACCTACAACATAAGTTGGTTGAGTAAAATACGTGAGCAGAACTTGTTTACCTTTTATTGCTATGAAAAAAAAAATTCTAAGAAGTGGTCTAAAAACTGGAGACTAAACCCCTTAGTGTCTGTTTTCATCAGAAGACATTCATCATCATCACCCTGGATATTAACTCTGCTCCATCTTTGTTTCACTCTAAACAGGACTTGGGAGAGAAAATGATGAATCCAGGTTATGATTCATTATTAGCCTTTGAGCTTTTTGTCATTCTTTGAGTCTTGAAATCTCAATTCCTAAAACAACAGGAACCATGATGACTATGACCACAATCTGCCTAGAGTTTCAGAGGCCGAGTCAACCCAACACAGACGTGACCCACCTCCCTTTCCCAGCACGGACTGGTTTGAACAGCAGTCTGTGTGTGCCAGACAGCAGGGAAAGAGGGTATCCAAAATGGCCAATGAGGGTAGTTACCATTATTACTGTTCTTCTCTTACTGTTTTCTTTTGGTTTAGGGCTTTTAAATTTATTAAGCACAGAGGAAGAAGGGCTCCACAGCTCCACAGGTTCCAACTCATTACATACACTTACCCATGGCAGCTCAGTGGGTAACAATAGCCCTACAAGTCCAGCCCAAGGCAGATACAGAGTTTCCAAGAGAAAGGTTGGACACTGAACCCTATGGGAGGATCCTCTCTCTCTCTCTCTCTCTCTCTCTCTCTCTCTCTCTCTCTCTCTCCATCTCTATCTATCTACATCTCTATCTCTCTATCTATGAAAACTTAGATGATTTAGTGCAATGGTCACTTATAATGTTAGGACAAACATGCGTCAAGTGAAACACTGGCAGGTCTAAAGTTGCTTTTATCTCTACTTCTTTGTTCTCTTTAGCTTTTTATTTCCACCAATTATCTTAATGACTTCCCAACAAATGTTCTCTTAAAGATGGAGACAGAAAATTTCTCATGAGTTTTAACAATTTAGGGTCATTTTGTGAATTTTAAAAAAGAAAAAAAACACAAAAAGACAAATATTTTCTGATTCCATTTTCATGAGGTACCACGAATAGTCAAATTCACAAAGTAGAAAGTGGTTACCAGGAGGGGAATGTTGGGGGGGAGTACAATGGGTACAGAGTTTTAGAATTCAGTGATGAAGTAGCTCCATAAATGGGTGGTAGTGACAGTTGCACTACAATGTGAATGTACTTAATGCTGGAAATCGAACCCAGGGCCTCACACCTGCAAGTGTGAAGGAAGACAGTGACAGTGACAGGGTATGGAGAGAAACGATTTCAAGATTTCAAGGTTGAGCACTGTGGTGCAGCTCAGTGGGTGGTAAAGCATGTGCTCAGTGCTCACAAGGCAAGTGCCACTGAGCCACATCCCCAGCCCCAGAACCGAGCTTTTTAAATGGAAATTTTAGGTAAGGTCTATTTTACCACAATGAAAAAAGGCTAAAGAAAGACAACACAAATAAATTATATGGTTCATGATATAAAGGTCTAAAAATTATTTCAGTAATTTCTAAGAACAGTGGCAAGCATGCCAAAAAATATTACTTTTCATCAAAATAATCATATACACTCATATATCTTTCTTTCTTTTAAAGACAGGATTTCACTAAGTTGTTGAGGCTGGCCTTAAACTTGCAGTCCTCCTGCTTTAGTCTCCTGAGTAGTTGGGACTACAGGCCTTCAGTGCCTAGCTTTAGTAATCATATATTCTTTTTTCTTTTCTTTTCTTTTTTTTTTTTTTTTTTTTTTTACCATTGAGCCACATCCCCAGCCTTTTTTCATCTTTTGAGACAGGGTTGCACTCAGTTGCTTAGGGCCTCGCTAAGTTGCTGAGGTTGGATTTGAACTTGAAATCCTCCTATCTTAGCCTCCTGAGCCTCTGGGATTATAGGAGTAGACCACCACACCTTGCAATAATCACATAGTCTTATAACTCAATCTCACCTTGAAGTTGTAGGAATCTTGAAATCTAGCAATAACATTCACGTGTGTGTCTACGTGGTACACATTTACGACAGTGTGGTTAGGCCTACACCATTCTGATAATTAGATGGTAAGAGTCAAAGTGTTTCTATGATAAAAGCTTTTAGAGAACATAGGGAAACAATGATATTTACCAATAATGTCTGCATAAATTTCCATTTTGTTGTGTTGCTGGGCCAGGGTGAAAGCTTCATTGTTACATTTGGACATGACAAGAAACTGGATGGCAGACCCATAGTCACCCAGCTGTAGAAAAAACCTAGAATAAAGTACTTCAATTAGCTTGACCCTCATATAAAATAAGTCTGTGCTTTACAAAATAAAATCGTTTTTAATCAGGAGAAATCACTTAAAAATAAAACTTTATTACATAAACTGCAGTCCTCATTATATGCTTATGATACTAGACAATCAAATGCTCATGCTGACCATTCACAAACAACCTTTGGATTTAAATACCTAGAGCTGATTTAAAAAATCAAAAAGAATAAATATTCTTTTCAAATTTAAGTATTTGACGAGTGGAGGCAGGGTCCTTCTTTTACAGTTAGTTTTTGGAAGTCCAAAAGTGTGAATGTGCTATGTTACCTGGCTACCATCTTGGCCCCGTCCAGAGACTGGGTCTCTCTGACGATGCTGACGGCCTTCTCCGGGTTGTTGAGGTGATCCAGATAGATGCGGATCACACTGTTCCACTGCTTGGCGTTCTCATAAGCCAGGACAGCTTCTTTGTATCTGTAAGAAATACTTGGTTGAGATAAACTTTCCCAACACTGTCAGTTTAGGAGGGAAATAACAATAAGTGTTTGGGTCACTTTCCTACTGTGTTGCAATCGTTGCTTGTTTTCCTTAAACATCCTTTTATTTCATCAGAAAAAACAGCAGGAACTCTCCCACTAAAATATGTTCTTTGTAAGGGTTTGATAAACAGTAAAAGGCCAATATTGAATTGTATTTTCTCACTTGAATCAAAGTTATATAATTTCTTTATATGTTACTGTTTTTTTCCTTTTTGAGTGAGAATATTATAATAGCAATAGAGGATTTTTTAATAAAACATAGATAACATAATAATTTTTCACAATTATATATGCCTAACAATGATATAAAGTCTTTGTGTGTTGACCTCTAGATGGCGCTCAGGACTTCTTTTCGGCTTGAACTAATTCTCCAACTCTTTCCATCTCAACAAGACTATTAGTGTATCTCTCCATTTCCTAAGTTACTTTTCAAAAAGTGAAGGGTATCACTAACACTTAAAAGTCTCTTAGTTTAAACTTCCAAAGTGAAATCGACACTTCCATCAGTCATGTAAAGTAAGTGCATTTTCACAGTATGGTTATTAGTTTAAAATACATTTTCCAAATACGGTGTCAGTTTTATTACTGTTCATGGGGTGAAACTTTTTCATGTTTACACACATGCGACTTCATAACTGTATTTCCTCTGAGACTTGCCTTCTTGTCTTGAGCCTCTTTTCCAATATTAGTGTTTTTGAGTTTCTTGTACTATTTTAAGCTGGAGAAGATCTTGGCGCATTTAATATTCATTATTCATTTCTAGCTTTTCATACTGTTTTATGGTTTAAACAGCACAGCCAGTCTTGTGTGTGGAATTCATGGTTCTTTACTTTTCTTTCCTTCTATATCTCTAAGTTATCCTCCTTAATAAAATGATGATCACTTAATTCCATTTTCATGCCTCATTAGGCCAAATTTCCACTTCCTCCATTTACCTTCAAATACAAAGATATCCCAGTCTATATCTGAATACATAAAAAAAGGCATGAGGTATGAGATGTAGAAAGATGTTGAAGACTGTCATTTCAGACCTGCAAAGGTTATATATAAAGGATGTTTTCTTTCTCTGCTTTGTCTTTCTTAGAGCGTTGTAAATGTTAATGATGAATTTATCAAACTTCTTTAAGTTTGTATAAATTTAAGAAATCATACAAACCTTCCGTCTGCTTCTTTAGCTTTGGCATACTGTAAGTGGATCTTAGGAGAAGAAACATGAGGCAGAAGCTCGCCAACCTTTGCCCTAGAGAAGTAGACACAAGGAATGATGTCAGCACTGTGCTCCCTCAAGTAGCAGCATACAAACAAATGCTAGATTTTAGGATTCAAAAAACAATTATCTGCTGGGCACAATGGCATATGCCTGTAATACCAGTGATTTGGGAGGCTGTGCAGGAGGCTGTGGCCTCGCAAAGTTTGAGGCCAGTCTGGGCTAACAAAAATGGCTGGGGATATAGTGCAGTGGAAGAGCACCCCTGCCCCTGGGCTCAATTCTTGGTGCCAAAAACAAAAACGAAAAAACAGTTATGATCTTTCAAAAATCTTGGCTGCAAAAGGAAAAAGTAAACTTAATTGCTTTGCCTCCTGATAGTCCCTATGTGGGAAGATAAAGGTTAGTTAATTAACTCTCTTGGGTTTTGTTTGTTTTTTTTCCTTGTAATTTATCTGATTAGGGACATTCTCATACAAAATCAGCAAAATGTGCTGTTCTTTGGGCAAAGGCTATTCATGTAAACTTAAATATAAGTAGTAAAAACAAGATGGCAGGTGCAGTTGGGGTATGAACAGAATGTCAGGTAGGAAGACTGACAAGGAGACAAGTGGGAAAACCCCAACACATTAATTTCCAAACCTGCCTGGAAACGAACCATCACCAGCTCTTACCAGTTCTTACAGCGGATGTAAACAGAGGCTGCTTTGTCATAGTACTGGCCTTTTTCATACAGTTGAGCTGCTTCTGAAAATTGCTAAAATAATACAGGATCATTAAGGTACTAAATTTGTTACGTGTAAGAACCACGTGAACATTTGTGCAGAGAAAGGACTACCTTCATATTTTCCAATATGGCTCCACAGTCTCTTTTAAGAACCCTGCTGGGGTGCTTGAGGGCTTGGTTGACCCCTCTGCGTATGTCTCCCATTCTTATGGACATCTGGGCCACTCCAGCCAGGCACACTTCATCGTGCTCCTGAAATGATGGAGCAAAGACTAACGAGTCAGATCCTATTTCATCTGAAGCAGATGTACAGTAGAACATTCTGTGAGGATGGGAATCTGTGTCTGCCCTGTCCAACATGGTAGCCAATAGTTACAAGTGCCTATTGGGCATTTGAAATATGGCGAGTGTGAAAGAGGAACTGAATTTTCAATTTGTAGATTAGATAATTAATTCGAACAGTTACATGTAGCTAGTGGTTAATGTATTTGATAGAGCACATAAAGAATAAAGTAAAGCAGAGGTAGCCCCCAAAAATATAAAAAACCCAAGAGATAAATTAGTAAAGGATATGATCAAGTAATTAATAAAAAATATAACTGGCCAATAAATAAATAAAAACATGCTCAACTTCACTCAAATACACAAAAATAAAATTATATATATATATGTGCTTATCAAATTGACTAAATGGTTCACTGATGTTGAGAATATGTTCATACATGAACAATATATGCATGAATTACTATAATTTCTTTTTGAGAGCAATTTAGCAATATCAAAAATTAAAAGCACATTTTATAGCCTAGAAATTTCACTTGTAAGAATATATCCTTCAGAAATACCATTTTTGGTAGCTAAAAAAATATGTACAGGGTGGGACAGTCATTGTAGTGTTTGCAGTATTTTTGAAAATAGGGAAAGAAAACCCTATTTAACATGGAGTAGATGAAATATTATGGTATATTCAAGAAATGGAACATAAACTCTCTCAAAGGATAAACAGATTCATATATATTGACTTGGAAAGATCGGGAGCAAGCAAAATGCTACGTTACAGAGTGGACAACAGCTACCCTTTGCTGTTGAGGGAGTGATTTTATGTTTAGCAGAAACCCTGTATGACATACATATTTGTGAGCTCCATAAGATTCAGGGTGTCAACATATGGAATCATTACAGGGTGTAGACGGAGGAGTGAATATTGGACTCTCACTTCTCACATTAACATCCTTGGGTGATTTTTAAAAATTGAGTATGATGAACTTGCATTCCTTTTGTAATAACTTAGATATAAATAGAAAAAAAAAGATTCAATCTTTATAAGACCAACTAAATTAAAAAACACTAATTTTATTCCAAAATTGAGCTTCTTGAGTTGGTATCTACTCTGTGCAAAGCATTTTGCCTGTTCAGAGACTTTCCACGTCAATACATATGAATCTGTTTTAGTCCGCTAATGTTACATTGTTAGGATGTACTCTAATTTTTTCATTCATTTTCTTATTGAATTGTATTGGCCTATAAATGGGAAAGTTATATGCCACTTTTTAACTTCCAGTCTTAATTAGAAGCTTATATTTAGGCTGTAGTAGAAAACATTTCTTTTTAGATGGGTAAAAATATTGCCATCTTTAGTTTTTAAGAGTTTAAAAAGTGTTTAAAATAATTTAACTATGTTTTTGCAAATGTGCTAATGAACAGAAAAACAGGTCACCTACTAGATATTGAATAAGTACAATGCAAATAAGAGCAGGATAAAGATCTTTATTTGAGATTACCTTATTTTCACCTGTTATTCCTTTTTCATAATGAGCCAAAGCATTTACATAATCACCCCTGAAAGAAAAATCAGAGTGAATTCAATTCATATTTATGTATCTTATTTATATGTACAAAACTTAAAAGATAATCTCTGAGTTGCTTAAGTTCATGAAAGATGTGATAAACAACATAGATGCAAGCATTCTTTCAGAGCGCAGCCCATCATTATTTTGTCACTTTAAAAATATTAAAATGGATCACACTGCACTGTAAGGGACTTGCTAGGCATTTGTGGGATGTACAGCAAATTTTATGAGCTACCTTTGGTTAATTATTTCCTTTAGGGCATGAAATGACAAATCATGTGACCGTAAAAACTAATGCTTTCTTCCAAAGACCCAATATTCATAAGAAGAATATGTATTGAGAGAATCTGGGTTACCATCAGTTTATTAAAGATAGACATGGAAGAACACCCTGGGTATTACAATATTGAGGGCGCTGGTTCTTACTTTAATAAAATGTATCATTCTTGATATAATTGTGTTAATCAGTTTTCCTTCATTATGACAAAATAGCTGAGAATAAGAAACCTGAGGAAAAGTTGATTTTGGCTCACAGTTCAGAGCAGTTCATGGTCCCTTGGACCCTTTACTTCGGGCCTGTGGTGAGGCAGAGTGTCGTGGCAGGGGATGTGCAGCGGAGCTAAGCCTCTCACCTCACGGCAGTCAGGAAGCAAGTGAGGAGAACCTTGGGACCCCAATATCCCCTTCGAGGGCACACTCCAGTGACCTCTCACTAGGCCTCACCTCCTAAGAGTTCCACCACCTCTCAACAGCACTACAGGCTGGTGACCAAGCCTTTACCACATGACCTTTGGGGGACGTTTACGATCCTAACCATATCAATAATTAATATAGGCTCTGTTCCCATGACGAATACTAACATAGATCTGCATATCTAGAAGACAAATTTATTATATCAATTAATTTTCATTATTTAGGACGATGATTTGCTTAAGACCTTTTTGCTGAGACCCGTCTTCCTCTGAGAAACCATCTCTTTTTGTATAATCATCTCTGAAAATGGCATCGTTTGGGATCTATCTTAGCGCCACTTTATCAGATTAGGCAAGTTATTCAACCTGTCTAGGCCTCACTCAGTTTCCTCAACTACTGATACACAAAGGATGATTGAGAACTTTCTATTGGTCAGCCCAGGGCTTTGCAATATTCCTGAATAGAAATTTCTAATTTGGGTCCAACTATATCAACCCACCTAGGGACAAGAGAAATGACAGTTCCTTTTCAGGGAGCCTGCTCAATTAGTAGATGCTAAATTGAGATTCTGGAACTCTGATTTATGTTATATTAGTTACCTTGCTTTATTATTTTATTCTCACATGGATCTAGCTCATTAGTCTAATCTCACACTGGAGAGCTAAATCTCTTCCAGACTGAATAAATTTGGCCTTGCTCTGACCTAATCAATGTCTTGGATATAATAATGAAATAGACTGGGAACTGAGCACAGGCCTTGGGCTGTAGGCCTCAAAATCAGTAGTTGATACCTCATGATAGGACACACTTAGGAAAGTCATGATTTTATTTTATTTTATTTTTTTGGTACTGGGGATTGAACACATGGTTATTTAACCACTGAGTCACATCCTCAGCCTTTTTTAATGCTTTATTTTGAGACAGGATCTTTCTAAGTCCTTAGAGCCTTGCTAGATTGCTGAGGCTAGCCTTAAACTTGCTATCCTCCTGACTCAGCCTCTCAAGTTGCTGGGATTCTAGGCATACACCTTCATGCCACGGGGCAAGTCACTATTAACACAAGAGAAACTATTCTGATGGTTGGGGGCTGGAATGTATGAGACCAGGGTCAAAAGGTCTGCATATAAATTAGCAGTGAAGCCTTTGAGAATGGTAGATCCAGGGTCAACTGTCAAGCAGAAAGGTTTAAAGCAACTGCCACGACCACCACTCAAAACAAGGAAGCTTAGGCTTTCAATTGACCTTAGCTCGTTTGAGTTTGCTCCAAGAGCATCAATTTCCTGAGGCTTCTGGAAACTTTCTGTTTGTTTTCTGTCAGGAAATGGTGGATCATTTTTTTTCTCTTCGGTGCAGAAGTTTTATACTCTAAGATACACTCTTAGGATGGAGATGGAGGGCCAAGGCACTTAGGGCCTTGTCTCTGATTCTAAGATTCTAATACAATTTGGTATATGGATTTTTGGGGGGCAGGGTGGTGCTGGGGATTGAACCCAGGGCCTTATACTTGATAAAGCACAGACTCTATCACTGAGCTACACCCCCAACCCCTGGAATAACTTAAGGACAGAAATGAGGCAAATTTAAATCAAGACTGACTCTGAAGAAATAACGCCTCCAAAAAGCTTTTTATTGGAGAAAAGAAAATTTAAAATTAGTTATCCTGAACAAAAATGAATATTTTTTGATAAAATAATTTCTACAACCAAAATTTGGAGGTCAATAGTCTCACAATCCAAAATCTGTATGAAAATAAAAGTGTAACTACATAACATTTTTGTAATAGTCAAATGTTAAAACATATTTTCTTTCTTTGTCAAAGACCAGTATTTTTCTACATTCTAATATTTTTGAAATTTGAATGTATCTTATAATATATGTCAGGAGAAATTACCCAGTTGTGATACTGTCATTGCACATACACATGCATGTGTGAACTGTGTGAACTTATATTTGCAAATACGTTATTCATTTATAGTCTTTGTAGCTATTTGCGTTGGTAGAAATAACCACAACTGAATGTTAACTTAAAACTAGATGCTGAGTGCCTCTACATTTACAGTTTTATACAGCACTGAAATAAAAATGTAGTGTCTATTGATTAAGACTATGACAACTGGGCATGATAGTGCATACCTATCATCCCAACAACTCGGGAGGCTGAGGCAGGAGTTTCCTAAATTTGAGAACAGCTTCAGCAATTTAGCAAGACCATGTCTCAGAACAAAAAGGACTGGGGATGTAGCTCAATGGTAAAGCACCCCTGGGTTCAATCCCCAGTACCAAACAAACAAACAAAATTTAGGGCAAATAAGATGGGCTAACAATTAAGAGAATAAGAAAATTCTAAATTTCCCAGCATAGATTATGGAATTTCCAAAGGTAGGAGAGATTTGCAAAGCCTACTGATGTACCAAAAAGGTTTACTATTCAAGCACCGAGCATCACTCTGTGAAAAGCTTTTCTCTTGACTTTCAATACTATTTTTCATCCATATGCAATTCAATTTTAAAAAGAAAAATCTATAATTTTAAGCTAATAGAGATGCAGACTGCTATGGCACATGTTCATATATATTGAAACTTAATTGCCAATGTGATGGTATTGGGAGGTGATAAAGTCATCAGGACAAAGGTAGAAGGGAGAACTCTCTTTGATCTTGGACTTCCTGGCCTCCAGAACTGTGAGAAATAAATTTCCGTTCTTCATAAGTTACCCAGTCTCAGGTATCCTGTTATAGCTACACAAATGGACTAAGACATAGACTAAAATTCAGCATTTTTCATTCTGCCTTGAAATTACATTGCAAATCCTCAAAGTGTTAAAGGAGGTCAGGCTCCTGCACACAGGTTATGAAACAGTGTATCACTCTCCATGCTGAAAAGGCTTAGACCCAAACTTAGATTTTGATGCTGAAAATCAAAGTGGATAAATGTATGGATAGGATATCATTAGTCAGCTAAAACTTTTTTTTTTTTTTTGGTACCAGGGATTGAACCTTCAGTGTGTAATCTAAGCAACATCCCCAGCCCTGTTTTTTTTTTTTTAATCTTGGGACAGGGTCTCGCTAAGTTGCTAGGGCCTTGCTAAATTGCTGAGGCTGTTTTTGAACTTGTGATCCTCCTGCTTCATCCACTGGAGCCACTAGGATTACAAGTGTGTGCCACCATGCACAGCTAAATGTTTTTTGAATATATGGTAAGCATCATTTTTTTCTCTCTAAAAAGCAATTATTAAGTCAAGGGAGAACCTTATAATTAAAGGCAGTTTAAAATGAAAATATGTAGAGGCTGGGGCTATAGCTGATAAGTGCTTGCTTTGCATGTGTGAGGCATTGGGTTTGATCTTCAACACCACATAAAAATAAAATAAAGATGTTGTGCCCACCGAAAACTAAAAAATAAGTATTAAAAAAATTCTCTCTCTTAAAAAAAATAAAAATTAAAAATTAAAAAATAAATAAAGATATGTGTGTCCATCTACAACTAAAAATATTTAAAAAATGAAAATATGTAGCAATTAGCTACCTATGAAAACATAATGATGGCTAGGTGCAGTGGAAGTTCAGGCAGGAAGATTGCAAGTTCGAAGCCAGCTTTAGCAATTTAGTGAAATCCTAAGCAAATTAGTAAGACCTTGTCTCAAAAAAAAAGAAAGGGCTGGGGATGTGGCTCAATGGTTAAGTATCCCTGGGTTTGATCCCTGGTGCCCTCACCCCCATAAAAAAATGTAACAAGGAGGACTTACGTGAATTCAAGCTGAATAGCATATTCTTTTGATATAAATGGTATTTGCTCTGGGGCCAAACGTTTTGCCAGTTGGAGAGCACTGTCCCAATGCTGTAAATCCCTTCTCATCTGTTAGGAAGAGACCTTGATTTCAAAAGAGCAAACTATTTTGTAAAGTTATAATATAGTGCCAGTTTTAATAAAAGTAATTTCAAAAAAAAGTTTTGTTTTTTTTTTAACAGTGAAACTTGGCATTTACAAGGATAACTAGTATTTTCTGCAGTCTCAATGGTGGTAACAGAGCCCTAAATTTAGCTATTACAGTGGTTTGTGGCCCTCCCCATACTCAATCCTACCTAAAAAAATCTTATTCCTTGGTATTTGGTTTTTCTCAGTAGGGGTAAATTAAAATTAATATTATATATATATAATTACGATGCACTAGTTGAAAAATGATAATAGAAGGGAGATCAGTAGAGTACATGGATTGGGGAGGGAGGAGGGGATAGAAATGGAAGGTACTGAGGAATGAGATTGATCAAATTATGCTATACATGTGTTTGAGTATGGCATAATGAATCCCACTATTATGTATGATCATAATGTACCAATAAAAATTAATGCAGTCAATTAAATTTAATTTTTCATCTTTGAGGGGCAATGACAAAAAAGTTGGGAAACACTTTACTATAGGAATTAATGTTATTTTATTAGATAATTTCAAGCTACATGGCAACAGAAATAACAGAAAACGTAAGTAAAATGTAAACTTTCTTCCTTCCTGGTTCCTTTTATCTTTTACCAGTGTCTGTGGTTCCTGTGGTCAGTTACACAATTCCAAATACAAACTTATCATTACAGAATCTTTTAAAAAAGTTTGTTCCTCGCCCTATGTACACTTTATGAAGAATTAAGAATAGCTAACATTTTTCAAGTGTTATTCTTTGCCAGACACTGGTCTAGGGCATTAGCTTATTTTACTTTTCACTTCTACCCTTTCACAATCAACTTGTCATTTTAGAGATCCAGACTCTGAGTCAAAGAGAGACTAGTTTTGACACAGGCTACACGGCCAGTTCGTGACAGAGCCAGTAATAGGGCTCTGCCCCTGCCCTCTCCACTGGCTAACTTACCACTCAGAATGAAGTTAAAGAATAACAGACTGCAATTACCCCTCATTCTGAAGCCATCCCTCAAATCCTTTACAAAGCTAGGGGCACAGGTGTCCACAGGTAAATGCAGAAGAGCCAAGATGACGGCACTGCCTTTACTCACTGTAGTCACATTCTTACTTAAGTCAGTACCCATCCAAGCTTTGAAAATTTCTCAGGGTGTCCCCAGTTATCTCAAATAATAGGGTAATATAACCTTAGTTTTTTTTTTCTTAAAATGAATGAATTTAGTTTACTTATAATGAAAACAAAAATGAAAATTTGCTGTAAAAATAAAAATGAAACATCAATGTAAAGTGCAAATAAAAATTTAGGGCTGAGGATGTGGCTCAGTGGTAGAGTGCCTGCCAAGCATGTAGGAAGCCCTAGGATGGATCCCAGCATTGCATAAAAGAAAATGAAAATTTGCTGTAGAACAATATGAAAAAGAAAAGCTGTGAAATTAGTAACAAATATATTTTCAAAACTACCCCTTTTATATAGTTGTAGAAATGCTGCTTTGGGCTGGAAGAACATTAATAATTACAATAACTACTATTTTGTGTCTACTGATCCGTCACTGTGCTAAAAGATCTAATTCCCTTTGAAGATATTTTACAAGTATCCTGCGGGCTGGATATAGTTATCCTTACTCTAAAGAAGAGGGACCTGGGGCTGAAAAGGTTGAATAATTCATCCAAGGTCATACAGAGCTGGGATTTGAGCCCAGAAGTGTTCTTCTCTTGAGTCTGTGCTCTTGATCACTTTTCTATATTGTTATGTCTTCTTCCACTCTGCCCTTGAACTTGGTCCTTCATTCTATTCCAATTCCTCTCCTACAACTCTTGATACATAGGAGAATTTCATAAACAGATAAAAGATAAATGTGCCTTAGTTCTCCCAGGCAGAAAATAGAGAAAATAATAGTACCATCTTATAGGATTTTTGTGAGAGTTAAATGAGCTAATAAATGTCAAGTGCTTAGAAAACTGCCTGGCACCTGTGAGCATTCAAGAAATGGCAGCTATTTTTCTTTGCAAATATTTTTGTAAGTTATACAATCTGTTTTCTTGGGGCACATTTAGACTTTAAATTATTTAGTAATGTTATAATACCATGCCTTTTATGCTGCTCCCAAATGAAGAATGAAAATATTTTCAAGCTAATGGTACTTTGGGATTTTTTTTTTTTTTTTTTGGTGTGTGTGTGTGTGCTGGGGCTTGAACCCACAGGTGCTTTACCTCTTAGTCACATCCTCCAGCCCTTTTTGTTTTTTGAGACAGGGTCTCACTAAGTTGCTTAGGGCCTTGCTAAATTGCTTGAGGCTGGCCTCCAACTTGTGATATTCCTGTCTCAGCCTCCCGAGTTGCTGGGATTACAGGCATGCACCACTGTGCCTTAAAAGCTTAAATATTTACATTTTAGGAGGGGGAAGGCATATGGTGTCTGGAACTAAGAAGTTTTAACCAGAAAGAAGGGGAGACCTCCTTCTCTGCACATTCTTTCCCTCCTTATTTAAAGCCATACCTCTAGGGCAGCCACAGGACAGCTGGATGCAAGGTACAGGTCCTGAGCCAGGTTGAAGTCATTCATAAACATGGCAAGATGTCCTGCCAAAAGATTGTAGTCCTCTATTCCCTGCAAAGAAAAGCAGTTTTGATAAGAAGAAATACAGAGGTTTAACTCCATTTTTAAAAAGACTGTGCTCAGTAGGAAGTGGCAATGTTCTATTTGCTTGTTTATGAGTTAGGTAACATTAACTTAAGGAAATAAAATATTTGAAGAAATAACATTTAAATCTTAATCTGATAATTCTCATAAAATGCTGTATACCTTTATTTCTTCTAGGGACATCACCATGCCGACGTTTCCAATTGCCCGATAAACCCGGATTGCAAACTCCACTTCCATGTGATGCAGGCAAGCTTTGGCCAAATCATTCCAGGCAGCATGATCATTCAGAATCTTGCATATGTCCCAAGCATCAGAAAACCTGGGATTTGAGTATACACACTTAATTGGAGAGCGCCACTGCCACCTATTTGGCAATTTACAGATTACATATCATCTATTATCATGTGCTAAATAAACTTTGCAAAACATTTTTTTAACCTATAATTGTCACTTGTTAATGAAAAAATATATAAACTTTCTTTTTTTGTATGACAAATGTTTTCCCTTGCCTTTTTAAAAATTAATTTGAATCAACTCTCTGTAACCAGCCCTTCTGCCTCAATTAACTAAACTAATTCTTTTTTTTTTTTTGTACTTTTATTTCACACATAGATGAAAATTGTTTTTGTTTACACTTAAACCTAATAAAGTCCTATAAATTTAGAAGGGGAAAACGGGTCAGTAAACTGGCCAAAAGGATAAGCCCAATCTGCTTTTAGCTTTTGGTGTAAAGTCTGAGTGAAACAGGGTGACTTGGCAGTCTGCTCCTGTCTGGACTCTCTCTGGATGCTTCTGTGCTCCAAGAGTCAGCTGAGCAGCTGTGACTGAGACCCTGTGGCCCTTAAGCCTGAAATATTTACAATTTGGCCCATAGCAGAAAACGTTTGCTGATCTCTGGCTTAAAACATGAACACACATGCCAACTCAATTTCATAGAATCTGCCGCAGTGAAAACCTCACACGCACCCACCTACTCAGCCATCCACCTGCCCGCCTGTCCATTTTTCTATCCAGCACACATTTACTGAGCACCTCTGTGCTATGTGCCAGGAACTGTGCTTAGAACCAAGATACAAGGTCAAACACACAGTCACTGCCCTTAGGGCAGCTATGACCCGGGAAGGAGGAAGAGACAGGGAAGTGAACAAATGAGCCCCACATGGTGCGACAGAAGGAACCAAGTGCTCTGGGTACGTGACTCTTTGTGCTGTTTGCACACATTCTATTATACCACCCCGACAACCTCACCCACTACAAATTGTTACTTCTCCTTTACTGGTGAAGAAGTGAGCTTAGGCGCCTTAGGAGACTGGCTCAAGTCACACAGCGGTGGTAAGTAGTGAAGTGTTCTGAAGCACTAGAGGCACTTCATCCTGGCCCTGAGGCACATGCCACAAAACCCCCAGCTGGGACTTCATGGTGGGGGGGAGTCAGGGAAGGCTTCCTGGAGGAGATGGCTGCCTGGTGGCTAAAGAATGACGAGTTTTGTCCTCCAGAGATGGGGGAAGGGCATTCCAGGAAGAAGCATGAAAAATAATTAATTTAAGCTGCCAGTGGAACAGAAAGGGAGCTGAGTGGGGCCAGTTGAAGCAGTTGTGGCTCGGATTAAATCAAGAGCTGAGTGTGCCATACTGGGATCCCTGAGGAATTTGGATTTTTTTTCCTAAAGACAATTGTAAGTCAACTGAATTTTTTTTTTTTTAAATTTTACAGTTTAGTCAAGAGTCAGTCAGTCTCTCTCTCTCTTTTCATGCTTGGATTTGAACATGGGACCTTTGTGCATGCTAGGCAAGTGCTCTACCACTGAGCTACACAGCCATGCCCACTGAAAGATCTTGAACAGAGGAACGAGAGGATCCGATTCATATTTTTAAAACTGTGTGAAGGGGCTGGGGTGGTGGCTCAGTGGTAGAGCGCTTGCCTAGCATGCGTGAGGCACTGGGTTCGATTCTCAGCACCACATACAAATAAATAAAATAAAGGTCCATCAACAACTAAAAAAAGAAAAAAAGAAAAGAAAACTGTGTGCAAACAGGACAGATCTTCATGAGGCTATCTGGAAAGAACCAGTTAGCAAGTGGTCATATTGTACATCGTTCCAAGTCAGTATCTGAATGAAGACATAGGAGAACGAGAGGAGAAGATGATCTTGAAGTCGAGGTGCTTGTGTGTGTGTGTGTGTGTATTGGACAAGTTGATCAAGACAGGGATGGGGGAAGAAGGAGAGCTCGGTGTTAGGCAGGCAAGTTTGAGGAGCTGTGGAGATCTGAAAGCAGTTGTAAACACAGGTTTAAGATGAAGACAGATTTTGACGTCAGCCTCACATGGACTGTATCGATGCTTTGGAAGTAAGAGATGATTTGCTCAGGAGAAACAGAGTGAGAAGACAATAAAGGAGCTCATGGGGATGCTAAAAACAGCACCACTTCAGAGATGGTTAGAAGAAACAGAACCACCAAAGAATTCACGGTGGTCCCAAGACATAAAAGAAAACAGCAGGAAAAGGAAATCTTGAAGCAAGGCAAAGTCAGACTTCGTTATGATAAAGTCGATATTGTCGAAATAATTCAGTTTATTAGAATTTCATAACACCTGGGCTACATAGATCCTTAGAAACTTTTTTATTCTGAAGGGTTTTTCTTGTAAACAATACTTTTAGCTATAACATCCGATAGTGGTACTTCCTTGGAATTTATATATATTTTTCTATTCATTATTATATCTGAGCCTCATAACAGCCTTGTGAAGTAAGCCAGTAGTGTTATAACATATCTACTGAATTGGGTTTGACCTTGAAAAATCACAAAAGCACATGAGAAGCTCCAAGCCAAGTGTCTGCAACCCTACCTTTTGAGCATTAAAGTCTGGGCCAACATTTGTCTCAGTTCGTTAGGCGACTTGTCTTTTAAACTGTGGAGGAAGCCGTGGGTGCTGAGGAAGATGCTGTTGATTTTTCCACTCTCTGTCTGGCAGGTCAGCTCACCATTGTACAACAGCAGAGGTTTATGAGAGAAGGGAACTTTGGTGCTACCAGCCAAAATAACCTTGGATCCTATATCATAAAGCAGACCTCTTAATGACAAAAGTGAATACTTAGCACAAACATCAGAAAGGAAGGTTTTGATTTCTTTGCAATGGAAATTGATTTACCAATGAACGTACAAAAAAGTGATTCAGTACCTTGTATGGTGTCCTTATGAAAGACATAAGTGTACACTTTATCGTCATCATAAGCAATAAATACGCCTTTATCCATCGGCCAGTTTTCCCAAAGAACACCTTTAATGGTTGGTGAGAAATCTGAAATCTCATAGGTAGCATCATTAACCTACAAAATAGGGTTTATAGAGTCACCCACGTCTGTGTTTAGATCATTATCATTTGCCTTGGCAGGAGCCTATCTACAGCCTTAACTGGCAGAGCTTCCCCAACCCCCAACTAGACCCAAAGTTACTCCAACCACAGCAGGAAGGGAAGTTCCTCTTCCTAGTCCTATACCACAGCAGACTTGGAAAAACCCCAGCTATCTGGCAAATCAAGGGTTTGATCTAAACTATGGGGAATTTATAGGAAACTACAAGTCTAAAAACAATGGCTTCAGGTTAAGAATAACATGTAGAAGCTGCTCAAGATGCAGAAGTTTACACCACAAACACACCTGTTTCCAGACGTGTGTGTGTGCGCGCGCACGTGTGTGTTGTTGGTGATAGAACCCAGGGCCTCACCATGCTAGGCTATAACCCCAGGAACTTTTAAATAATAATGGGTAGTAAATAACACAGGTGTTAAGAAACAGAAGTTATTCATGCACGATTTGAAATTTACAAAAATTATACTGGGGATGCTTTATTTCAAAAATCTATAAATATAATACTATAATGACATAAACATTTAAAATCCACATAATTTCTGTGAACTTAAGCAGATAGGGTTACATACATCTTAAATGGAGAACCGTGTGTTCTTCCTAGTCCATCTTCTCTCAAAATGAGAATGATATTTATGATTCTTCCAAATAATAACTGATACTACAGAGCTGTGTTATATGATATGATAGCTGCTATTATAATATCTGTAATGGGCCCATTTAAAATCAGAAGCTCCAAATTGTTTTTCTTATCCATTTCCTACTAATCTGTGCAAGCATTTCCTGCCCCCAGCTTTCTACAGTCCATCATCTCATGCTGAGAATGGGAGATGAAACCACCCCCAAAGCCCTGGTGAAAATCAGAAAACTGGAACTGCAATCTAACTCCGGCTAGCACAGCCTGGCTGAATCTATGTATGCATATTTCCTGGCTTTTTGTTCCTACCAATTGTGACATTTCTGTAGCACGAGGAAAGTAGATTAACTGTCTTCCTAGTTTGGGCCAAACTGCAATTAATTCATTTTTCCTTTTTATATAGCTTTCTCTTTTCACTGATGTGGGCAGGCAACTAAACCCAGTTAGTCAGAACTCAAGTAGCCTCTAACCTGGGCCTAGATAACATATCCATCTAAAGCTATTGAGCACTCAAATGTGCCTAAACCAATCAACACATACTAGATCTCAAAGCAAAAAAGAAATGTAAAGCATCTCATTAATAATTTTATGTTTAGCTACATATTGAAATGATAATGTTAGGTTATATTAAATACATGAAAATTAAATTCATGTTTTGATCCCCTGCTTTGCAAAAAAAAAAAAATTCCATTTATTTCTTTTTATCTTTTTAAAAAATCTGGCTAGTAGAAAATTAAAAATTCTCTATGTGGTTCACATTAAATTCCAATTTGACAGTACTACTAAAAGGTACTATATTATCTACTCATAATTATATACCTATATGTGTAAACTCATTTAATTGTAACATTATTCTCTCCAAGACAGGTACTGTAATTAGCCCCACTTTTCAAATGAGGAAACTCAGGCACAGAATAATCAGCCCAAAGTCACACAGCTAATTAGTTGAAGAGCCAGGGTTTGAACCCCAGCCTGCTCCAGAGTCTATGCTTCTAACCTCTAGGTTATACTGAGGCTCAGTTTATATGGATGAGCACAGCAGATGGAGGATACAGGATTTTTTTTTTTTTTTTTTAAGTGTAGCCATTTGTGTAGCACCTATTATATACAAAAACCTACACACATCATCCCATTTAGTTGTCATCCAATGACCCCACAGAGTGTTAGAACCATCTCCATCTAGAAATACAGGGAAACTGGGAATCCAATTACTCAGCTCTTTCACACAAATGATCAAGGAAAAGAGAACTATGAAAGGAGAACGATAAATGGCATCCACTTATTTATGGTTGTTCTTACTCTCCACCGGTTCCCTAGCAGTCATCGCCAGGCACTGACCTGACCTCCTGATAGACACCCCACTGGTCCTGCCACCTCCAGATACCCTGTCAAAGCAGTGGGTGAACCCATGGGGACGGCGTGGGGGGAGGCAGCTCTGATTGGCACCTGGTAACCAGGGGAACCTGTGCCAGTTAAGTGGAGGGAACAGGATGTTCTCTTCATGTTTATATTATTCTTCCTCCTCTGTTATGGGACGGGAGGGGAATGAGTTGAGTGGGAAGTCCACAATGGGAATCTGGCATAAATAATCCAGGCTTCTTGTTATATTTTTCAAAGAAAGGAAAAGAAAAGGAAAGGAAAAGGAGAAGAGAAGAGAGGAGAGGAAAGGAAGAAAGGAAGGAGGGAGGGAGGAGGAATGAAATCTTCATACCAAGGAAGGTACGGTAGGGACGGAAAGCGCCTTCACTGGGCAGACACTAGGCAGAACAGACACCCGGGAGCCACATTAAGTTGAGTCCAGGAGCCGCTGCGGGGTGTGAGCCGGGACCCAGCATTCGGGAGACCATTAAGGGTGAGTCAAAAATAAATGAAAAGCCCCAGTATGGTAATGATCATAAAGCACATTTCCTCTTTCTAAATCTATTTTCAAAAACGTGAAGGATGTCCAAAAATAGGAGTAACTGACTTTTTGGATAGGTCCATCCATTTTTAAGAATCAACTAAGATGGGCAGAAAGGACAGGGTATAGCCTCTGCCTTCTGAGGCTTCCTGCACATCTAGAGAGAAAACTCATGTGCAGGAAGGTAGACTGTAATGATAATACCGTGCAGTAACAAGGTTAAAAGTTGAATGAAATGTAACAACGCGATAGGTGATAGCAAGTTGCATAATCTTTGATACTGTGTAGGAAAATTTTACATGAGCTCTACTTTAATAACACCTTTTTCTTATATTACATTTATTTAAACAAACATTTAAAAAATTTCTAGACTTACTGGACAGTAAACAAATCCATCACTTTTTTCATCAATGAAAATTAATTTGGTCCCATTTGGGTCAGGAAAAATCTTTTTCACACCAACAGGATGTCGATAATCATTAACATATTGCCAGTCTTCAATATAAAAATATTGAATGACGCCAGTCTAAAAAAAAAAAAAAAATCCAGTTATGGAAATGTAAGGGGTGGTCAAGGAAATACTGACTTTCCATGTTCAAGTTAAATACACTTCCTAATTTTTAGAGCATTATTATTATTATTATTATTTTGTACCAGGGATTGAACTCAGGGGCACTCAATTACTGGGCCACATCCCCAGGCCTATTTTGTATTTTATTTAGAGATAGGGTCTTACTGAGTTGCTTAACACCTCGCTTTTTGCTAAGGCTGGCTTTGAACTCGGCAATTCTCCTGTCTCAGCCTCCCTAGCTGCTGGGACTACAAGCGTGTACCACCATGCCCAGCCTGCATCATTATTTTTGATGAAGGAGAGGCCTAACAATATTTAGTATGTATGCAGTGTACAGATCCCTAAAAATAAATGCAATGAGAATATACAAGTGACTCAATATTCTATTAATTCATATGCTTTTAATGACATGAAATAATTAATTCATAGTATTTCTTACTTGCTGAAATACCCTTGTTGCTGAAGAGAAACTTTCAGATTGTGTTTTTTCAAATATTTTTTTCTGTTAATTAGTAAACTAGAAAATTAGTTTTAAGATAAAAACAAAACAAAAACCTTACCTGATACAATCAACTGTATTTCTATATATTAGCAATGAACTTGCACATCTCAAAATTGAAAACACAATAAAGGCTGAACATCCCTAATCTGAAAATCTGAAATTGAAATTTTCTGTGTGCCAACATGACACTCAGAAGTTTTCAGACATTGGAGTACTTCAGATTTCAGATTTTCAGGTTAGGGATGCTCAACTAGTGATATCTATGTAAATATCCCCAGTGAAACAAAACAAAACCCGAAACATTTCTTTCTGGTCTCAAACATTTTGGATAAGGGATAATCTACATTTATATATCTGGGTGTAAATGTAACAAAACATGCATAGGATTTTCATGCTGAAAATTACAAAACACTAAATACAAAACGCTATATTCATAATGTATTAGAAGACCACCATAGTAGAAATGTTAATTTTCCTAACTATATACATTTAACATCATTCTAATAAAAATTAATTGAAATAAAAATACATGATAACATCTTGGACTTCACTTAGGCCAAGACGGAGTGAGACACTGGATTTTCTTTTCTATCCAAAACAACGACTTGTATTTTTTTTTATACATATATAAACAAAGTGCATGAAACAACCATTCTCAAGATGCTGAAATTAGGCAACAAAGGACATTGATCTCTGAGAGAGGGGCAAAAGGCGAGTCCTATGACAACTCCAGCTATTGCTTTCAGAGAGATTTCAAATCATGGCAAGGGGGTTGGGGCTGCAGGTGGAGCATGCAGTTGTGGAGATGGAGCTGAGAGCACAGGGAGAAGAAAACAGTGGCTAGAGTTGACGGGATAGAGTCCAAGAAAGGACAAAGCTGCAAAGAGAAAGAGAAGTTGGAGATCTATAGAGAGGGGTCCATCTTGACTCAGGTGGTACTGAGGCCAGGAAAGAACCATCCAAAAGAAACAAAGTGGTCCACACTCTAAAAACTTAAAATCCACAGGGGCCTTGGGTAGAGTACTCAGGAAAGCCAGGCTGCAGGAATGGGAAATAATTGGCTGTAACTGAGCACTATTTCATACCTGCCAAAAACAAATGATAAGGGCTGGGGTTGTAGCTCAGTGGTAGAGTGCTTGCCTAGCATGTGTAAGGCACTGAACTGGGTTCAATTTTCAGCCCACATACAAATAAATAAAATAAAGGTCCGTTGACAACTAAAAATCTATTTTAAAAAATGATAAAAGCAAGACTCAGATGAGTCAAACTCTTTTAAAATAAATTAACTGTACCCCACATCAAAGTTCAAGAATATTTAGGGGAATACAAATATATCCAGAACCCCAAAAGGTAAAATTATCAGACATACAGAAAAATATGACCCATAATGAGAATGATCAATCAGAACTGACCCAAAATGGACCCAGATATTAGAATTAGTGGATAAGATCATTAAAGATGATTATAACTGTAAAGCATGTGTTTCAAAGCTAATTGGAGACATGGAAGACATTTTAAAAACCCAAATAGATCTTTTATGGATGAAAATCACCATGTTTAAAATTTAAAACAATTGGATGAGATTAATGGCAGCTCAGACATGATAAAACAAAGGTTAGTGATTTTTGAAAATACAGCAGTAGAAACTACTGCAAATGAAAAAGAAGAAAGAGAATTTAAAAACGTAAAGAGTTTTATCTGTGAGACACTTTTAGCACCGCAATATACAGGTAGGTAGAATCCCTGTGATTAGAGAGTGGCAGCACAAATTTAAAGATATTACAGCTAAAAGGGTCCAAGTTTGATTAAAACTGTAAACTCTCAGATTCAAGAAGGTCAACAATTTCAAGCTCAGGAAAAAGGAAGAAAACGACATCATGACACATTACAATCAAATTGCTCAAAAGCAGTGATCAAGATGAAATAGTAAAAACAGAGCAAAAACACTGCACACAGAGGAACAAGATCAAGATGACAGATTTCTTGTTGGAAAAAATGCAAGTGAGAAGACAGCGAGGCAGAAACAGTACCGAAAGAAAGAAGTGGTCAGCCTAGAATTCTACACCCAGTGAAGACACCTTAAAAAAATAAATAAATAAAGGTGAAACAAGGACATTTTCAGTCCAAAGCGAAAAGAATTCATGGACAGGAAACCAGTATGATGAATAATGATAAATTAAACCTTCAGGCAAAAGAAAAAGATACCAGGTGGAAACATAGATTCACACAATGGAATGAAGAGCACCAAAAATGTCAACCACATGAATAAATATTTAAGCTACTTCTTTCTTAAATCTCTTTAAAGGATAGGTGATTGTTTAAACAAAACTAATAACAAAGCACCAAGGGGTTTATGATAACTGTTAAAGCAAGACGGTGGCAGTGGCACTGAGGTTGGAGGGGAGCATTACATGGTACACCATCACTCGAATACAGGCATAGACCAAACCCCAGATATCAAAGGTTATAATTAATAAGTCACCAGATGAGATAAAATAATAAAATACACAGTCCGAAGGAAGGTAAAGGAGGAAGAAAACGGCAACGGAAAGCAGATGGGACAAGTAGAAAATGTCAGGATAACAGACTGAAACCTAAACAGGTAGGTAATTCATTATACTTAAAAGTCTAAACTCCCCAGCTAAAAGGCAGAGAGACTGTCTGACTGTGGGATCCAACTATCTGCTACTTATAAGAAAATAGTTTACATATGAAGATACAAAAAAGTTAAAAATGGAAAAAGATACAGCAGGATAACATTCTGGAAGGCTGAAATGGCTGTGTTACTATCAGGAAAAATAGATTTCAGAGCAAAACTATTACCAGAGATTTTAAAAGGTCATTTCAAAATGATAAAGTAGCTAATCTGTCAAGAAAATAAAACAATCCAGAATGGTTAGATACCTCACAAGAGAGCTTCAATATACAGAAAACGCTTAGAGAACAGAAAACACAAAGAGATAAATAGGCAGATTCACAATTGTAGCTCTCAATAATTGACGGAATAAAGAAATATAAAATCAGAAAGGGTACAGAAGTCTTGAATGTTATCAACCAACTTCATCTCTAGAATAGCATATATATTCCTTCCAGTTACAAAAGGAATATTTACCAAGTGGATCACTTTCAGTACCATAAAATAAGTCTCACAAATTTAAAATAATTTGTCAGACAAATTATATTCCTTAACCATAATAGAATGAAATCAGAATTCAGTAACAGAAAGATGTCTGAAAAAAATCTCAGTTGTCTGCAAATTTATCGACACTGTATTTAAAAACCCATGAATAAAATAAAAAATCAAAAGGGAAATTCTAAAGATTTTGAACTGAATAAAAACAAAAAATACAATATACCAAAATTTGGGGGATGCTGCTAAAGTAGGACATACGGGAAATTTCCTCCCACTGAAGGGCTTATGTTAGAAGAGAAGAATGATCTCAAGTAAATGAAATCAACTCCTGTCCTAAAAACTAAAAAAAGAACAGATTAATACCCAAATCAGTAGGATAAATAATGGAGCAGAAATCAATGAAAGAGGAAACAGGAAAACAGTAGAGAAAAACCAAACAAACAAACAAACAAACAAACAAAAAACACCAAAAAAGCTATTTATTTGAAAAGATCAACACAATTGATAAACCTCTGGGTAGACCAATCAGAGGAAAAAAACACAAATTACGACATCAGAAATGAGACGAGTGATATTGCTACAGATCTACAACTATTAAAAGAATAATAAGGAATAGTATAATTTCATGCCATAACTTAGATGGACGCATTCCTTCAAAGACACAAAGTATCCAAGTTCACTAATGAATAAAAACAGATAACCTGAATAGCTTGCTTTCTACTGACACCATTGAATTTGTAGTTTAAAATGGTCTTGTAAAGAAAAGTCCAGGCCCAGGGGGGAGAGCTCCACCATAACACCATGGCTACTTTGCAACATTCACACAGGCACAGAGGTGAGGCTCAAATCTAGTTGGACAGGGACATGACAGAGCAGGCAGCCTGGAGAAGAGCTGTCCCAAGTCATTTCTCATTCACCTCTCTGTCTTGTGGGAAGTTGTCATGAATCAGCTTTTCACCTGCTTTTAGTGATGGCACCATGCCAAGTCTGCCCTTTCAATTTCATAAATTAAGAAATTGCTTAAAAATCTCAAGATGCTTATACTAGCAGATCATACCATCTATATTCTGCATAAGTGTATGATTAATCACAGATAACTTCGTTCCTCATATTGAATTCAATACCGAAAAATACATAGAAAAACAATAGTAGGAAAAAGTCTAAGTCACAAAGTAAAAATTAGAAATCCTCTATGCTCTATATTAAAAAAGACAATACATACATCTGTCCCATAGATGAGGAAATCACCAGTTAAGGCATGACATAAAATACGGCATTTATCGTCCACTGCTGGGAAGAGTCGAGTCTCACGTTCTTCTTGAGCATTGGAGATTTCACTTTCTATCTAAAATGTAAAGATTGTTTGCATAAATGTGCAAAGTGTCCTTTTTCTCAAGTTCAACTACACATTTGGAATCTCAAGACTACCTTGAGCCTACTTAGAAATATACCTGACAGCAACCACAGCTGGCCTGCAGGGCCCACATGAGGTGTTCCCACCAACCTCTTTGGCTCCCCAGATGAGAGGAGTCAAGATATTTATGTGTGCTGGGTACGGTGGCACACGCCTGTAATCCCAGCAGCTCGGGAGGCTAAGACAGGAAGACCATGAGTTCAAAGCCAGCCTCAGCAATTTAGTGAGGCCCTAAGCAACTCAGTGAGTCCCCGTCTCTAAATAAAATATTTAAAAAAGGGATGGGGGTGCTGGGAATGTGGCTCAAGCGGTAGCATGCTCGCCTGGCATGCGCAGAGCGCAGGGTTTGATCCTCAGCACCACATAAAAATAAAACAAAGGTGTTGTGTCCACCAAAAACTAAAAAATAAATATTAAAAAAAAAAAAGGGATGGGGATGTGGTTCTGTAGGTAACTGCCCCTGGGTTCAATCCTCGTACCAAAAAAAAAAAAAAAAGAAAAGAAAAGAATGAAAAGTTATTTATGTGGCAGATGCCCTGATTTAGAAGTCCTGTCATAGCAGGTGCCAATATTTGTTGAATGAATCAATGGACATAATTTCGAGGATCCTCACATGTAACATGCACAAATCTAAGAGTCACTGCATTGCAGAAAGCCCAGAGGTTTATGGTTCATTTGTAGTTCCTTCTAGATGCAATTTACCAACTGAGTTATTTTTACTATAAGCAATGTGGTAAAGAGCACTGTTGCTATTTATCAAGGTTCTAGAGAACAGGGCTAAAATGTCACTTGAACATCTCATACAGAAGGGGAAGAGTTTTGTTCACCCTTACCCATACCTGGCTTTCTAGCTAGGCTTTATATACTTGCTGCCTGACCAAGGTTCTTGATAGTGAGACATGAGGTTATTCATTATTACTACTTAAACTAGCAGATTTCCAAGATATCAGAATTATACTTACCAAATGTAACTGGACTTTGCCTTCAAAAAGTGCGGAAGCATAGTCAGAATGAAGACAAATGCTAGCTACTGTTCCAAGATATTCTACGTCTTTTAATTTTTTTACACCTGTAGCAATGTAAAAAATTAACATGCTGAAATTAGGCAAAACTACCTCATACAAGTCTTTGCAAATAATTTTTAAATGTGTGTCTTTGTAAAAATCTTCTGAACTTAAATCTTATTTCAGCTATTGTAAAGAAAATCGTAGTAGCCAAATAAATTTGCTTTCGGGAATTCCATAATGGTTCATATGAAACAAGAGAAAATAAGTGAATTAAACCTTAAGTCACAAGAAGCTTAATGGGGTTTTCTGTTCTACAGGTTACTTCTCAGGTCTTTTCCTGAAAGTTATCTGATCTAGAGTGGGGGAAAAAAGTGGAGAGGAAGAGGGAGGGAAAGCTTTCTTCACATGATATTAGACATTACTCAAAGAATAAAAGGGGAGAGGGACCCATAGTTTGTTAAGCTACGAGGCATAGGTGTGCCTAACAAAGCCACTGTGTAAAATGAGAACCAAGAATCAAGAAATGGGATGGATTCAAACTAAAAAGTTTTTTCTCAGCAAAAGAAATAATCTGTGAGGTAAACAGGGAGCCTACATCCTGGGAGCAAATCTTTACCCCTCACACATCAGATGAAGCACTAATCTCTAGGGTATATAAAGAACTTAACAAGCTAAGCACCAAAAAACAAATAATCCAATCAATAAATGGGCCAAGGACATGAACAGACCCTTCTCAGAAGAGGATATACAATCAATCAACAAATATATAAAAAAAATGCTCATAATCTCTAGCAATCAGAGAAATGCAAATCAAAACTACTCTAAGATTTTATTTCACTCCAGTAAGAATGGCAGCTATTATGAAGACAAACAACAATAAGTGTTGGTGAGGATGTGGGGAAAAAAGTTCACTCATACATTGCTGGTGGGACAGCCAATTTGGAAAGCAGTATGGAGATTCCATGGAAATCTGGGAATGGAATCACCATTTGACCCAGCCATTCCTCTTCTCAGACTATACCCAAAGGACCTAAAAACAGCATACTACAGGGATATAATCACATCAATGTTTATAGCAGCAAAATTCACAATAGCTAAACTGTGGAGCCAACCTAGATGTCCTTCAGTGGATGAATGGATTAAAAAATGTGGCATTTATACACAATGGAATATTACTCAGCACTAAAAAAGAACAAGATCATGGCATTTGCAGGTAAATGGATGGCATTAGAGAAGATTATGCTAAGTGAAGTTAGCCAACCCCCCCCCCCCAAACAAATGCCAAATGTTTTCTCTGATATAAGGGGAGGTGAATCAAAGTGGGATAGGGAGGGAGAGCATGGGAGGAAGATTATTTCTAGATAGGGAAGAAGGGTGGGAGGGAAAGGGAGGGGGAAGGGAAATAGCAAGGATGGTGAAAAGTGATGGTCATCATTATACAAAATACATGTATGAAGATTTGAATTTGGTGTCAACATACCTTATATATAAACAGAGATGATAAATTGTGGTATATATGTGTATTAAGAATTGTAATGAAAAAAAAAAGAGAGAGTACATGTAGTGTATAATGGCATAATTTGGTGTGAACATACTTTATATACAGAGTTACGAAAAATTGTGCTGTGAATGGGTAATAATGAGTGTAATGCATTCCACTATTGTCATGTATGCAAAAAAAAAAAAAAATCTGCCTCATGATCCATTACACATAGAGTAGCCTCATTTTCCAGATGAGTGAACCAAAGCTCACAGGGGTAGAGTACATAGGCTACAGTTCACTTAGCTTACAGAAGCAGAAGAGGAATTGAACCCAGCCCCTCTCTAATTCCAGTCTACCCACTATACCATGCTATTTTCACTCCAAAGGTAAAGAAGAAAATCTTTCTAAAAATCACACAAAATTTTTAGAGGATTCACAAAGCCATTCAAGTTAAGAAAGAGATGTTTGGACAAAAATGAGTGAAAGACTTGGTCTTAAGAGAAACTTCCAGTGTTATACAGAAATTATATGCTAGATAACAATGCAACAAATGGATGTCGACTTGCCGTTCTCTCCAAGAACATAAAACCAGGCTCGATTGTTCATTCCCACAGCCAGATGATAGAGACCTACTGCTATAAAGTTGGGTTCCACATCAACTGAGACTGTGATTGGTGTCTCCTATAATAGAGAGAAGTAAGAGCGGTAAATCAGCTGTTAAAACTGTTTTGATTTATTAATAAATAAAATAAAAATAACACAATTTTCATACTCCTTCAACAAAGTTGGCTACGGTGACCTCAAGGAGGGAGGTGAGATACGCAATCCTTGTGCTGCAGGCAGCCCCCAGTATGGGAAGCTTGGTCAGGAAAACGTGGAGTGAGCCCCTTTGGGTAGACAGTGCCAGCAACTGGCCATCATCTGTCCAGGACAAGGTACCCAACCCTGAAAAAATTCACAACACAAACAATTAAAAAAAAACAATTTACAGTTGCAGGCAAGCAAGCACATATTTTTACTTAAGCTACCAGAGGCTTAAAAAAAACTTCAAATATTTTTTTTCAAATATAGTATTTATTTAAAATAGGGAATTCACCATGGATGAGCATAAGAATATGAGTGCAAACTCATCCAATATGGCTCAAATGGAAAATATATATTAATTTTCCAATTCACTTTAAATCTCTGGTTTTAAGTGTGCTAATATTCTGTTAGTCAAGTAGAATGATATAACATAATTACTAAAATAAGGAGACTATTTTAGGGAACTCTAATGAAAGGTGTTAATTTTATTCCTCCTACAATGAATGCATATTACACAATAACAAACACAGAATTACTCTCTATAATTGAAATGAGAAGATGTCAACTGCTTCAGGAAAATCAATACCTTTATTTTCATCATCCAGGTTGACTATAGCATACATGTCTTTTAATTCTGCCAAGTCATGAATTTTAATGCTGGAAAAAAAAGAGGATATTTTAAATATATATGAGCTCTATGTAAAATTGTTTTAGTTCACAAAAAAATTATAAACTGTGGAATAGATCAGAGGTCTCCCAAATAGGACATATAGGATAATCTAGTGGGTTAAGGTAAGATAATATTAAAATTTTCTTCTGGTTAGGTTTGTTTGCTTATTTGAGCATGTGTGGGCACAGTAAGGGGAGCAGTATCCCACTTAATTCTCTGATCTATATAGCTACTACAAAGGGAAGTTAATATTGTTCTGATGAAGTTTGAATAGGAGAACCTTCTTCTGAGCAGTTTTTAAAAATATTTATTTATTTGTTCTAATTAGTTACATATGACAGCAGAATGCATTTTGATTGATAGCACCCAAATGGAACACAATTTTTTCATTTTTCTGGTTGTACACAAAGTAGAGTCACCCCATTCGTGTCTTCATACGTGTACCTAGGTGAGCAGTTTAATTATTGTAAGATGACACAAGTGCTCTTTATAACAGGTCACCTTTCTCCCCTGCCCAGAACTGGTTCATATAAAAAGTGGGGAGGTACAACAGAAAGTGCATTAGATTTGGAATCACAAGGTCTAGGTTGAAAGCGCTGAAAAAAATGGGGACATAATATCACTTCCTCAGCTGACTGGGAAGAATAAATAGGTCCATGAAAATGAAAGTCGTATAGTACAATACTGGAGCCCAATAAGCATCAAATTTCTTTCCTCCGTGTCTCCCTCTTCCTCCTCCCTCCTAGTGTTTTTCCCCTTACATTTCCCCCCTGTTCTTTTCATTAGTTAATCTTTTTATTTTGAGAAAATTATAGACCCACATGCAGTTTTCAGAAGTGATCCCAAGAGTCCGAAAACCCCTCCCCCCAGTGGTGACATCTTGGAAAATTATAGCATAATATCACAATCAGGTTACTGACACTGACATACTCCGCAAACCTTATTTAGATGTACCCAGTAGAACTGTGTGTGTGTGTGTGTGTGTGTGTGTGTGTGTTCTATGTAATATTCTAATGTGAGAAACCTGAGGTCCACAACCACAATGAGGATACAGATAGTCCATGACTACAGGACCCTTTATGTTGCCTCCTTCCTCCCCAGCCCCATCTTTCTTTTGCTGGGGTTTCTTGTTTGCATTGGTGCATTATAGTAGTACATAATGGTGGGATCTGTTGTTACATATTCATATTGCTGAGAGTTCTTTTGATTAGCATTGGAAGGTTTTAACTTTTTTCATCCTTTTACTTTTTTTCTTAGTTATATTTGAAGTGAGTTTCTTACAGGCAGCATATAATATGGTCATTTAAAAATCCATTCTAACGGCCTATAAATGATATAACTGTATCGTTTATATTTAATGTAGTCTAGGTAGGTTTGAATGTAGATCTATGGCATTTGTCTTGTTTGTCTCCTCTATCTTTTGTTCCTGTTCTCCTTTTCTTTTCTTCATTTATATTTGATTTTTTTTTAGTATTCCATTTTAATTTATCTATCATGCTTTTTAGAAAAATTAGTTCTAATCAGTTATACATGACAGTAGAAAGGTCTTTGATTCATTGTACACAAATGGAACAGAATTTTTTGCTTCTCTAATTGTACATGAAGAAGAGTCACACCATTTGTGAAATCACACATGTACCTGGGATAATGATGTCCGTCTCATTCCACCATCTTTCTTACCCTCTTGCCTCCCTTCCCCACTTCTCTTTGCCCCATCCAATTTTAGATTATTAGCCCTTTGAGAGTATTTCAGTAATAGCTGCCTCTGTACCTTCTTGGCATTGTTGTCCTCTGATTGCCCTTTCCCAAGTGAGTGGAACTTTTTTTGATTCTTTAGATGCCAGGTAATTTGGGGTTATATTCTGGACATTTTAAACATTATGTTTTGAGAATCTGTGTCTAACCTAATTCCTTTGGAGAGGGTTAATATTTTTGTTCTAGTAGGCAATCAACCCATTTGGTTATTCTAGTAGGCAATAACTGAGGGTTATGGCTTCAATGACAGCTCTATTTTCTAAGCTTCTGCAGTAGAATTTATATGTGTCCATGCACGGCCCACTCAGTGGCTAGTATTGGACCTCAGTTCAATGCTCAAAGTCTTTGGTAAATGTTTAGAATAAGATTTACAGGGGCTGGGGTTGTGGCTCAGTGATGGAGTGCTTGCCTAGCATGTGTGAGGCACTGGACTGGGTTAGATCCTCAGCACCACATAAAAAAAATAATAATAATAAAATAAAGTTAAAAAAACGATTTACACATACAAGCTGAGGGGTAAACCTAGGAGTTCATAAACATCTGTTTCAGATTGCTTTCCTGAGTCCCTCCCTCTTTGTTTTCTGGTTCCTTGGGATTCCCTTTTTGGTCCTGTGGGAACCCTGGGGGTCTAGATACCCTGTACTCTGTTGTAGTCCCTACAACTGCACCAGCATCTGTGGGCAGAAAGAAAAATAAGCAACAGGGATTTGTTCCGCTTCCTTGGGACCACAGGTCCTCTAACAGATGAAGGAGGGTACCCTCCGTCAAAGCTTGAGGTGCCTGTGGGTCCTTGGTGCTAATGCTCTTGCAGGCTACTTGGTGGCCAGGGCAGGAGAGAAAAACAAGAATGAAAACTCAAAAATCAGGACATTTCCCCAATTGCCTCTGATCATTAGGTCTTTCCTTTCCTTCAATGTTTTACAGCTCTCTGTGCTCTGATGCCTGCTTCTAGGATTTGGGCTACCTTGAGTCCTGCCTGAGAGAGAGTGGAGGAGAAAGGAAGCCTCATTGTTGGTTCTGTGGTACTTTGAATTCTGACCTGCTAATATTTACATTTCAGAGACCTTAAATAGCTGCTCCATCATTCTCTCCAGGTTTTACAGCTGTGTACGGTAGGAGAGACAGGGTGCAAAGTGCTGACCTGATTACCTGAGATTGCCTATACTATTTTTAAGATTGATTTTCTAGAATATTCCATATTATATTTTTGCCCTGGGTGTTAAAGGCAGCAGAGGATGAAAGAGTTTTAGAAATCTGCAATTATAAACACATTCTCAGAGTCCAAGAAAGTATGAATGTCAGATTTATCAGTTACCAAAGTCTTATTGATTTTCTTGAGTATTCTCTATATAAACTTTCCTAGCGATATGAGAATATGACTTACCAGTTATCTCCACATGTGGCAGCTTTGTTAAGAGTCTGTGATATTGCAATACTGGTTAGATTATCTTTATGGTTGCGAGTCTGAAATACCTCATGCCCAATTTCTTGGAAGTATGTAGAAATGGCCACGAAAATGCCACGTGAAAAACCAATCATGATGTAGCCATCACCAAACCTGCAGCAACAAAGGCAAAAATATGGTAAAGAAAAAGAAATTTTTAAAAAAGGAGACTCATATATTACTGGTAATATGGGAAATCAGCAAATACCTTAAAGAATATAATTTATCAAGGGCCAACTAAATATCAGATAATATGCTAGGCAGTTTCACATACTTAATCACAGATTGTAACTCAGAAATGCTCTATACAGAATGTTACAGGCAAAACTTTATACATATAATTAGTATGGAAAAACAATGGATTTCTTTCTATAATGAGCTTTTGGTACATACCAACTATAGCAGACAATACTGCCATAGCGCTGCTGAAATTCTAGATCAATTGGGCAATCTGGATCATTTATATTAAAAATACACAAAGTTTTCTTGCCAATCACCGCACTTATCTGTCAGAAAAGATCAGGAGATTGTGAAATAAATTACTTAGTAGTTCTTGAAAAGACCAATAAGCAAATCCAAACAGCTGAACCTAATTTAGGAAAACAATAAACCAAATTTCCATGTGCTACATTAGCATGATAATGTGACTTAACAAAAAATACATCTAGTGAGGTATATTTTGGTAAGAGTCCTTGGCTTTACACATCTTTAACATATCCTTTGAAATATTCTAAAATACCTTTGTGGAATAGCCTCTTTTTCTTTTTCTTTTGGTACCAGGGATTGAACCCAAGGGTGCTTAACCACTGAGTTTGTTTTGGGACAGGGTCTTGCTAAGATGCTGAGGCTGGCTTCAAACTCGCAAGTTGTTGGGATTATAAGTGTACACCACCACACCCAGCTGGAATAGACTCTTAAACTCTACACCTCTCCTTGGAACACTATGCAATGTGGGAGTATAAGTCTGACATAGTTTCACTGAACTTATTTCATATTCAGAGTTTAAAGAGTCTTCCATTCTAAGAGGCCAATCTGCTTTTGAGCCACTGGGGATTACAGATCCCCACACTTCTATGGATGATCTAGCCTGGCTTTTTATATCATTACTTCCATCACTTGTAGGTGAGCATGGCTAAACTAGCATTCCTCTGCTACTAACACAAGTTAACACTTAACATAATTCTCAGTGGAAGGTATATTTGTGTTGGGGAGAAAAAAGAGCATGTTTGTTTATTTGACTTCATCAAGAGTGACACTTTGATATATTCCCTGATTCTAAGATGTCAACAATAGTAGTCAATATCAACATAAAAATTGCTTTATAGGAAATAAAGACACATTACTTCATCAAATATATGCATGTTGATTATGCAAATCATCTGGATTTTGGAATATTAAAATGTAGAAAGGAAAATGTAACTAGGTATTAAGGAATGAAAAATTACAACTTTTGAGATCTGTTCACCCACTCGTAAAGAAAAAAAGTCACAGAGAAATCACTAATCTCCCCTGTTTTTGTTACCACATGAATGAACAGAGCAACAGAACCAACTGGAACAGGAAGTTATTCTCATTTTCTGTGATACCAGAGGTCAGCAGAGGCAAAAGCAATTTTCAGGCCTGCGAGACTGAGCCCTACTTTGGATTAATAAGTGACAAACATAATTTATTTTTCAAAACCCATCCAAGAAAAGGAAATAGCTATATTCTACAAAATTACCACAATGACTTGGGCATGGGTTTGATTTAGAATTCTTACTGTGTTTTCAGTAGCAGCACTTTGGTCGCTGGTCTTTATCGTGGCAAATTGCATGTGGCTTGGCTCTGATCTCACCGATGTCTATAAGGATAAAGATATCATCACTGTGAACAAACCCAATATTCAAATTCTTTCTAGAGGACTTGGGGCTTATGGATCTAACAAGGCCCTGGATCTAATTCCCAAAACCTCAAAATACAAAACAAAATACCACATGCACAAATTCTGAATGTTAACAAAACAGATATATTGCTTTTATTTCTGACTAATGTTGGATAAAAAAAATTCATACAAGTAATAATGGAGTGATATGCAGAATAACAAAGTTCTGAAGTAAACCAGATGAAGCAATACTTATACATACATCTCCTACCACGTGATGACTTAAGCAGTATGTCTAAATTTGGAAGGAGACTTCTTAGGGAGCAGAAATGTGAAACAGTTATCTTGTGTGAATAGTGGCTAAACCATAGTGAATTACTGGGATGCTCTGTGGAAAAAAATAAGCTCTTGCATTGGGTCAGTGGAGGAAAAAAATCCAATTATTTATTCGTGATGTCTGATATGGGTACATGGTGGGACAGAGGCATTGTAGCATTTGTATTCCATTCTATTTCTAAAGGGCATTCAAATAGAATGATCAGAATTATAAGGTTTATAAAATTATGTCATAGTAAACAAGTTTTATGCTAGATTAATCTTCCTGAAGATCCATTTTAATCATGCTATGGTGATGCTCAGCATGATAGAACTTACTTCTGCCCAACTTTGAGCTTTCCAGATACAGAACCAACTTTCTTCTGTCTCACTTTCTCAGTCAAAACCCACACCTTCAGTTATACTAGGACAAACTATAAGAAGTGTCCCTTCCTATCTCTGTTCATGTTGTTCTGCTCAGATGGAATGACAGATACTGCTAAATGCTTTGCATTATTCATTAAAACAAGTTTTAGCAGTCCTCTGTGGACTAAATTTGCAGCTTCCCAGGCAAGAGTGATAGTGGCCATATAACTAGGTTCTAGTCATCATAATATGAATGGAAATAAAACAAGCACCTTCCAGATTAAGTCCTATACAGATTTCTTGCATGTCACTTCTCTTTCTCCCTTCTCTGTGACTGAAATACAGATATAATCCTGGTGCACCAGCTTTAACAGAGAACATGACATCCTACAAAATGGCAGATAACTAAGATGGAAGGAAACTGGGATTCTGCTCAACTTTGTGAGGCAGTGGTACCTAGATGGCCTGCCCATCTCTCTGCTGTTACATGAGTAAGAGAAAGAGAGAGGGGGGAAAAAAACAAAAAAACACCCAAACGGCCATATTCTTACAGTCTCTATAATTTGGGGTCTCTTTGTTAACATTTTAGCCTTCTGTCTTTTAAAGATTCACAATCCAACTTTCATTGATTTTCTCCATCTCCTAAATGCTATAGGACTTGCAAATTATATCACAAAATTTGACAACTCATAATGTAAGGTCATGCATGTTTTAGATGATTAGTGACGTCTTCTTGAGGTGGGGCCCTATTGCCAGCAGCCTCTGGCTTCATGGTGGGAATGTGGAGAGGATGAGAAATCACATGGTGAGACAGGAAGCCAGAGAGCAACTCTGTTATAACCCTTCTCATGAGGGCTAACCAGGGTCCCTTGAGGACTACATTAATTTCTTTCTGTCCTCTGAGACTCTGTTGCCTCCCATTATCTCCCAACATTGTCACACTGGGGACCAATCTTCCATCACATGACCCTTTGAGGGTCATTCAAACCACATTCAAATCACAGCATATTCCATGCAGAGATCCTTGGGGCAAAAAAATGAGGAAGACTTCCAGTGAAGAGGTACTAAGACCCCAAGTATAGCAACCCATAAGGAATTGAACTCTATCAACAATCACATGAGTGAGGTTAGAAGCAGATCCCACCTCTCTGTAAGGCCTTCAGAGGAGACTGCAGCCCTGTCTGGCAATATGCTCACAGGCTTGTGAGAGACCTTGACATAGAGGCACCCAGAGAAGCTGTGTCTGGATTCCTCGTCCACAAAACTATGAAATAACAGATGTTTAAGCTACTTCATTTTGAACTAATTTATTATGTATAATAGTTGGCTAATCCAGAGTCATATTTTATACTGCTTCTATCCATAGCAGTACTGTATACCTGACAGATAGTCCGGAAAAGGTGTTAGTCGATATTTCTCTAGCATTACTAAATTGTAAACAGTAGTCCAAAGCAAAATTTTCCTGTTGGTTATTTCTCCTATTGATTATGTACCTATTGGCAACCAAATTCTCTCATGGAGAGAACCTCTAAAAATCTAATCAATCTTGGGAAATTTAAATGGTAGTAAAATTTTAATCTTGAAATTAAATGTAATCAGGATTACTTTGGAAGTAATTTAACATGTTTGGTAAAGATATGGACTTTAGAATCAGGCAAGTCTGATTAAGATCCACCAGTTATCACATTTATATTGTCAATACACATATATAAAATACGAGTTAGTTCACGAACATACTACTATAACCACAGCTGATAATCTATGCTAATACAACAGGGAAATACACACAGGAGGATATCTGAATTAGTATTCATACTAAAGAAAAATGTCCTAATATTACATGAAGAGAAAGTTTTTTGACACTTAAAACATAAAATTATTGCACACATAAACAACACAGAGACTTTAAAATTTTATAGATTAGTTTGATAGACAAACTATTTATTTTTTTATTTTTATTTTTTTGGTGGTGTTAGTGATTGAACCCAGGGCCTTGTTCATGTGAGGCAAGCACTCTACCAACTGAGCTACATCCCCAGCCCTGACAAACTATTTTTTTTTTAATATTTATTTTTTAGTTGTAGTTGGACACAATACATTTATTTTATTTATTTATTTTTATGTGGTGCTGAGGATTGAACCCAGGACCTTGCATGTGCTAGGTGAACACTTTACCGCTGAGTCATAACCCCAGCCCAATAGACAAACTATTTTGAGGAAAAATTTGAATATATCAGACCACAGAGACATTACTATATTACCTGTCTTATTGTGTCCCCCTCCTGGTTACTAACTGTAATTATTTTATCTTCACCACCTAAAGCAAGCAGATTTTCTGTACTCCAACATCCACATGTGATTCTTTTGGTATGTTTTCCTAAGGAAAAAAAAAAAGATAATTTTTGTATAGCCACATGGAGTTCTCAAAATAAATAAATAAATAAATGAATCTGTGACGCCAGTCTGAAAATTTAGGTGATATACCATGGGATTCAATAACAAAGAATTTAGAATATCTTCAAAGCAGTTAGTGTCTGTACAACCTTATTTAAAACAGTTTATTACTAAGTTGTAAATCAAGAAAAAGGTACATAAGGTTAATGCTCTTTCCAACTTTTTATCTGGATTTAAGCACATAAAAAGATATTCTGATCCTTGACAAATTTTGTTTGTTTACAACTAATAAAGCCTGTAACAATAATGTCCTTAAGAGAAGTAAATCCCAAAGCAGTGATATCATCTTTACTTATAATCAGCTCCACAATTTACCATGGTCTGGTAAATCATGAAGTAGAAAGAACACTCATAGTTTTAATCACTCATGATACTTCATGGTAATGCTAAGGCGAAAATATGAATGAACCTGAGTTTCTTAGCTAGTAATAGTAGATAACCACTAAGGATCAGAAACTTTCTCTGAGCTTTCCAGTCAGCACAATAACTCTCTCTCTCTCTCTGAAATAATAAAAGAATAATGAAATGAAAAAAATATGTACATGCTTAGTATAGATAGATTTTTTTTTCTGAATATATTTGATTTGTGGCTGGGTGAGCCTGAGGATGTAGAACCCCCAAATATGGAGGGCCAACTGTATTCTATGGCAGGGCAAGAGCTTAGGCAGGGAGACCAAAGAAGAGGAGACTACAGAAATTCAGATGGAAAATACGAAGGCCCATGCCCTGATAGCAGCAGGAGAGGTAATGAGACAGGCAGGAATCTGGGGATATTTGGAGGTAGAAACCAGAGTTTCTGATAAACGAGACATGGAAAGTATGAGAAAGAAAAGGGTCAAGGGTAATGTAAAGTTTGGCCTCACAATTTGAAATGATAAAATGTCATCAGCAAGAAGAGGGACGCTGTGGGCCAAGAGGGTTTTGGAGATATTAAATCTGAAGCATGTACTTGACATCTCTTTGAAGATGTTGAGGAAGCAGCTGGATGTATGAGTGTGTGGTATGGAAGAGAGATAAGTTAAGGAGTTTTCAGGATACAGGGAGTATTTCAAATCAGGAGACCAGAGCACCGACGTGAAGAGAACATTCAGAGAACAGACTGGAGAAACAGAGATTTTGCTGATTGTATACTGAGGGACTCTGGTATACAGGGGAGGGAAAAGGACTATGTGAGGAAGGTGGAAAGATGCCCAAGACAAACTCCTTTCCTTACGCAAGAAAGGAAGAAGAAGGTCTTCCCTCTTTCTTCCTATAGACCCAAAGGCCCTTTTGCTTCCAGTGCTCAGAACTCGGGTTAGCCTTACGATAAAAGCCAACCTCTGTCCCCACTTGTAGTGCTCAGGGCACTTTACATATTATCAACTCATTTAATTAACATTAACTCACAATTAACATACTATGTAACTGAGATGGGAACTGTGTTACAGGAAACTGGCATCATTTAATTAAACTCTTCTAACTTGGATTCATGCATATTTGAACCAGGCAAAGCAAGAACTGCTTGTATCTTGTCTAGTTCAAGAAAAGTAAGTGCAACTTGGAACAAGGTCATAGATCCTTAGTTACTGCAAAGTGCTGACATCTCATGCAACCATCAGCTGCTATTAGAAATGGGATGGCTGGGTTTTAGAAAGCAAGTTAGAAAAAAAAGCAGAGTCACAAGTCACAGTCACCTGTGAGAAAGGCAGGTTTAAGTTTAACTAAAGGACCCAAAATCTGTAATTAATCTGCATCTCTTAAGGTCCATTTTACATAGTTATTAAATAAGGAAGTAAGCAGCATCAATATTCATATTAAATTGAAGAGCAAAATAACGTATACATGTCAAATGCCTTATTAAAAAATAATCATGGGCAATTATTTTCTTATACCATGAGTGTCACAATTTCTGGGGCTTAAAAATTAGCTGATGAGATCTACCTGCAGATAAGTGGGAAATAAAAAATGCCTACTCAAGTCAAACAGATAATTTATATGATAAATTTGATTTTTGTAACTTCAAAAATTTTAGTTTAATCTTTCAAATAGGTCAATGACATTACTGTTTAGCTGTAGAATTAAAATTAATATTAAAGAGATACATAAAGGTGAAAATAATTTGAAAGGATTAACTGTCCTTAATGGAAAGGTACTCAAGTATTCTGTAGGTGCCACTACCTTTGGAGTTTAATACCTTTGTTAGCAGTAAGTTATAACTTTTTCTGGCCACCTGCATTAAGCCCAATAGTTCCACAAGTCAGCAGCATGATGTTAACTGAAAAGAACCAATACTGCATCTTCAAGGGTATTCAGAGGGCACAGGCCAGGTGACCAAAGGGTGGGGGATTCAAAGAGCCTGAAACTAGGTCAGACAAGAAACAAACACTCCTAGCCACATACCTGAGGCAAACAGAACTCAGCCCAGCACCTAAATTTATTATTATTTTTTTAATTATAGATGTACACAAACCTTTGTTTTATTTATTTTTTTATGTGGTGCAGAGGATTGAACCCAGTGCCTCACACTTACTAGGCAAGTGCCACAATTCCAAACCCTCAACATCTAGATTTAATTGGTGTTTGGACAGAGTGAGGTGTCAGAATTAGGAATCTGAATATACTTCACTTAAACAATTATGAAATGTTTTGGTTCACCTACTACATGGACTAAAATTGTTACATTATAACATAACTAAAGTTCACCTTGAAAGATACAAGCTGGGTGAGAAAAGGACAAATGGAATCCATATCATTATTGTCTTGTTGCCCAAAGACATCAGCTGACCTTAACCCTGGGAAATTCTTAGTAAGCAGTGAAGAGGGATTTTCTTGTTTAACTAGCTGTGAGACTGAAGCAGGGAGGGCCTTCCTGTTACAAAATTTCCTTTGCAATATCAAGAGAATATGAGGCAAAAAATTTACATTTAGGTAAAGCATCTCAAATATTCGGCAGTGTTTCCAGCTACAACCTACCAAGGACAGGAATCTTTCGAGATGTCTGATGATTATAAATTAGCAAATTTCCTTTAATAGTTCCAACAGCCAGGAAACTTCCAACTTTTGCCCAAAGAAGGAAAGACATTTGATCCCTGTAACATTAAGATACAAATTACTAAACAATTCACCATTATGACCTCTAAATAATCCTTTCAAAATGTACTTCATGAAATAATCTTAACCTCTGCTCAGAAGCTAAAGCATGAAATTATAACTTAATGCTTAAGGACAAAAATTGAGTGCTAATTTTGGAGATGCTATAAGATGATCTTAGGATCAGACTCAAAATATAAATATATAATGAATATAGACTTCTAGTTGGTTATGATGTAACCTCAAATTTCATGGAATGACTCTTGACATTACTTCACTAATGATGGGTTTACCATTAATTGTTGTAAAAATCTTAATGGATGATGAAACTTTGTGCTTTCACAAAGTAGTAGTAAAATAACATGATATACTGAATTGGAAAAATCACTGGGAATTTGTGACTTTAAAAAAAGATATATCTTTTTGCTGTCTCTGTCACTATTAAGAATAGCTCAGAAGCAGGTAGAAAGCACTTTTACCTGCCACCAGTTATAATATGCAATCTAAGATTCATGGGTTGGACTTTTATATAATTCCCTGTGAAAGGTAATCAAGGACTCTTTGGGAAATAGCTCATTCCACATATTGAGAAAAGAAACCACAATGGGTCTAGATCAGCAGCTTTCAAACCCAGAACCAGCAGCATCACCTGAGAACTTATTAGAAATGCCAGATGTCAGATGACAACCTCGAACCACTCAGTGAAAAACTTGGGCATGGCTGGGGTGGTGGTAGTGTTACCTGGCTATATGTGTTTTAGTAAGCCCTCTGATGCAGCTACATTTTGAACACCACTGACAGACCATGCTCCTGTTTTCAGGAAGAGCACTCCTCCCAAGAATGTTGAGGGTAGTAATTAAAAGAGTAAGCTTAAAGAGGACTTCTCAAGCTAAATTAGGAGAATTTGAGCATCAAAAATTATATACTTAAGCTGGGCGGGGTGCACACGCCTGTAATCCCAGCAGTTTGGGAGGCTGAGGCAGGAGGATCGAGAGTTCAAAGCCAGCCTCAGCAAAAGGGAGGTGCAAGCAACTCAGTGAGACCCTGTCTCTAAATAAAATACAAAATAGGGCTGGGGATGTGGCTCAGGGTTGAGTGCCCGTGAGTTCAATCTCCAGTACCGCCCCCCGCCTCAAATTATATACTTAATTGATATAAGTTTGTAAAAGATCATAAAAGTATGATAAGAATAAGTATATGAAAAGTTAGTTTTAATAACATGTGAATATGACAAAATGTTTAGTTAAAAATTAATTTCAGTAAGTAAAGGGAGTGCTAATATACCAGACTGCTGGGTTCTTCTATTAACTATATATTTTATAAAAGACAAACATGAATTTTTCTCTACCTGTTTAAGCAGGTGTAGCAGCCATGTGACTGTCTCTCAGATCTCTGGCTGCAGAGTGTAACTGATCTAGGGCCCCAGCTGCTCAGCAGTGGAATCTATCACCTCCATGAGTGGAGCTATGCTTTGCCATGGACTGTTTCTAGATAATGACTGAACAAGACAGGGATACTCCAAGGCCCATTCCTGGAGATCCAGGACTCCTTAGCTTCAAAGATTCCCCCTAGGCCCAGCTGAACTGTCTCAGAACTATGCTACAGTCAAAGATGTCTCTATTCATTCTTCCTTCCCTCTCTTTCCCTAGGGCTAGATAGGCACACGGCTCTTCTAATGTCTTCTCCCCCCCCCCACCCCAGGTCCTCTCATAGGTGTTCCCTTAGTAAATCTCTTATCCAGTTAATGACATCTTGGAATCTGTTTCTCAGATCACATGAATAAAAAGAATTGTGAGCGAGTTAAATAGTAACAGACAAGAGGGCATGTGTAATAAGAACAAGGTCTGATCAGCATCAGGAGTAATGTAACACTGGTCTATTCAACAGTCGATCAGAACCAACCGTCACACAACCACCCCCTATAAAGAGGGTAAACAGGGAGTTCTAAGAAAATCAAGGAACTGGATATCCTGAAACGAAGAGCTAACTGAACAGGCTCTATCCTTCTTCTCTTAGGAGAGAAGGTCTCTAGAGGGGCCTATAATTTATAAAAAGAAAAACATACATAAATTCCCAATAATATTAACAGATCATGCCAATGTAGAATACTCTTATGTTATCTATGGTCAAGAAAAACTTCAAACAGTAATCACTTGAGTGGGGCATGTAGCTTAGTGATACAGCATTTGGCTAGAATGTATACCCCAGTACTAGGGGGGAAAAAAAAAGACAGGTAATTCTAGAGAAATGCACAGACTACAAAACCCTGCAACTTCTATGGAAGGTGTGGGTTTAGAAGAAGCTTACTGATGATATGACAACTGAAGATCAATCAAAAAACAGACTGAGCAGGATAACCAGTAGTCAGGGCTGGGTTGCCTTGGGAGAGGCAACCATGTGCCATGATCTAGCCAAGAATAGGTTGGTTGATGAACCAGATGTTTTATGTAGGGTTCTCTTTGGAAAGATGGCTGTATCTCAATTATCTAACTGATTACTGCTGTAGGCCAGTATCAGAGTAAATACTGGTTTAATCCTAAGAAGATATAAAAATATAGACAGCAAGAATGAAGAAATGATGTTAAAACAGTTTTTTTAGTTAAGTAGCATCATAGTAAGTTTTTAATAATCCTATTTGAATATGTTTTGTATACTGTTTAAGGTATTTGAAGTGCTCAAAAGAATAATTTCAGATCAAATTTGTAGATGGAATCTAAAATATTTAAGGGCATGTAAGTTGAAAAAAAAATTTACAAAATTTTGATATTCCAACTTAAGAGTTTCACCTTAACATACATACATACACAGGATTTGCCTTTACATAAAGATCAAAAAGTAGCAGCTATATATTTGTATATATAAAAGTTCTTTAGACATTAAATATTAATACCAAGAGCAAAAATCCTAAATTTTATCTTAATGACAATTACAATAACATCTACCATTTCTTCAGGTCTTAATTTCATGCCTGGCCATAACACACAGCTGGTTTAGGTTAGGATTATATAACAATAATAACAGAATGAAATGAGATTTTTCATTTATAAGAAAGTAACTCAAGTCATCTTTAAAATGAACTGCTGGCATCAAACTTACAGATAATCATGTTTATAAGTGAATATTAACAAAATAAAAATGTTGGTAAATGCTAATTACCCTGATTTGGTCAGTGCATGCTGTATGCTTGTGTTGAAATTTCATGCTATACTCCAATTATATGTTCAATTAATCAATGTTAGTAAAAAAATAAAGTAAAACCAAAGAACTGAGATCACCACTTAAATAAATAAAGAAAGAAGGAAAGAAAGAAAAATAAAGAAAGAAAGAAAGGAAGGTAGGTTATCCTTACCTAATGCCACTGTCTAGTTGGCTGGTTTTATTTGTGTTGGCATCCCAGAGATAAATGCAGCTGGATTTCTCAGCAATCACTGCTAGGATATCTCCATCTTTATCCCAATCCATGGCAACACAGTTACTTTAAAAAAAAAGAGAGAGAGCAAAACATTTCTGTACATTTTTCTTAAGTAGGGGGAAAGAAATTGAAAGACCTATTTGTGACTTTTGTTTACCACAAAACCATTCAATCTATTTTGAACAGGTCATAACTCCAAAATGAGAAATGTAACTCTCTATTGACTGTTTAGCTAATATTAACTTCAGATTTTTGTTGAAAAAAATTTTAAATTTTATTGTTAATACCATTTAATTTAATATAATTATACCTAATGAATTAACAGATTTTCTTGAATCCTATAAAGAACCTGGCCTTCTGGAAAAACATACTCATCAAACACCTCCATCAAATCATGCCTAGAATCAACAGGTAATTGTTACAATCAAGTTTTGAAAGTTTGTTTCAGATTTACAAAGAGATAAAGATACTGATAAGAAATAAAGTTATGTATAAAGAAGTTGAAAATAAAGTAGATCAAGGTCATGCAGATGTAAGATCACAAACAATATGAAGACTGAATTCTGAAGTGGTAAGAAATGTTATTTTCATTTTATATCTTGATAGAATAAGAATAGTGATTCACTTGAGGTCACAACAGAGTTATAAACTGTAAATGCTCTATTTAATATGATTCTTTAAGATTATTCCAAAATGTTTGCTATAATTAAAAAAAAATTTTTTTGTAGATGTAGATGGACAGCATGCCTTTATTTGTTTATTTTTACTTGGTGCTGAGGATCGAACCCAGTGCCTCACATGTGGTAGGCAAGTGCTCTGCCACTGAGCTACAGCCCCAGCCCATTTGCTATAATTTTAAAACTTTGAAATTCATTAAATTCTTAAGAAAATAGAACTTTTCCTCCCTAATGCTATTTTTCATGTTGAGGCTCTTTGCTCTTGGGTATTGGCTAAGTCATGTTTGGATTTACATTTAAGTTGGGGATTACTTCTTTAAAATTTTTTTTTTTTTTTTTTTTTTAGTTATAGGTGGACACAATATCTTTTATTTTATTTTTAATTATCTTATGTGGTGCTAAGGCTTGAATTCAATGTCTCAATTAGGCAAGTGCTCTACCACAGAGCCACAATCCCAACCCCTTAAAATTTTAATTTTCCATAACATCCTTAGAAATCTTGGAAGAATGGAAGAGGGAAGCTTTAACATTGTTGATAAAATCACCTGCCCATTAAAGACTTAATGTATGATAGCAACTTATTTATCTGGAGATAATTTTGGTCAAATTCAACTATCATAAATACAGCAAAAGAATTCAGAAGAAATGATGCCATTGTGTAACCAAACCTGATGTTAGAGATTAGGCAATTAAATTCATGTGATTTACTCAAAAACGTTTTTTCACGGAGTGCCTTATTTTAGACATAAAGACTGTGACTGCTCTGATCTCTTGTTTCCCAGATTGTAGAAATCAGAATCAACAACTGAGAGAATTGCGAATTCCAAAATGGTAGCCCACTATGTGAGTGCGGCAGAGCAGGAGGTGTGAAAGGCTGAGACCAAGAGAAATAAAACTACCTGGTTTGCAAAAAAATGGTCAATAAACCACAGAAAACATGTGAATTTTAAAAGCATAGAAGCAAAAGGTCATTTCGGTGAAGGACTCTACGCATACATACATAATCTTAACTACCAAGACTATCAACAGAATAACTGATACAGGTAACGATTACAGTGAATCATTAAAAATGCCTAAATCGGGGCTGGGGTTGTGGCTCAGCAGTAGAGTGCTTGCCTTGAATGTGTGAGGCCCTGGGTTCGATCCTCAGCACCACATAAAAATAAATAAATAAAATAAAGATATTGTGTTCAACTACAACTAAAAAATAAATATAAAAAAATGCCTAAATTATACTTATGATTTCCTGAAAATGGATAAAAGAATGTGGAAAGTAACTATTTTCCAACTTATTGGAGAGAAAATTACTAAAATAGATGCAGGTTGGGCATCTCTAATCTGAAAATCCTTATTTTGGACTCATTTATGATTCTGCATATCTCATTAACTACTATGTCATAAAGAAAATAAATTCTTTTGGGGCTCCAGTTGTGCAACCAGTTAGCATGCAGTAATTAGAAGAAAACAAATTGCTCTGTAAATGGAGAAGGCAAAAGATGAGGGTTATATATAGGATATATAATTTTATTTGATTATAGTTTTAAGAAAGTACTATGTTTTTAAAAAATATATTTTTAGCAAATTAAAAAAAAAATATATATATATATTTTAGGCAACAAAGCTTGTACTTACCCAGGTAAGTTAATTTCACTTTTTTTTTGGCCATGGCGATCAAAGATTTTTACTGTATGATCAGCTCTGGAAACAATTAGAATATGAAGACATGATTTGATTATTTCTTTTATTTATCTAAGTATATAAAAAAATTAAGTTGCCACTCAAATGATTTCAGGATTCTTTCATGGTACTTTCATAATTTGTATCTAAAAAGTTATTGCCAGAGAAAAGGTTCTATGAACTGTGATGTTAACAGAGAGAAAATATTCATTTTCCCACCATACTACTGTCACACAAGAACTTCTACTGGTAGAACAGGTGGTTTGGTTATATGGGCATAATAGAATTACTTAAAACATTCACTGGTTCTTACCCTGTTGCTGCAAGATAGTTTCCTGATGATTTTTGCCAGGTAAACAGTATCGGTGAGCCAAGCCATGTCTTTTCTAGTAGAGAGAAAACACGCTAAAAAATAAACACAATTTTTATATTTTTAAAACATATACAATAAAGTGTTGGTCAGAAAATATGTCAAAATGTGATCATGAAAACAGTAGGGTAAAGGTTGGTGAAATCTTATGTTAGTGCTTATCCCTGCCTCTTCTCCCCCCCCCAAAAGCAATAAAAACACAAAAGAAAACACCAAAACACAACCAAACACAAGTGGTTAATACAGTATGGGCCTCAAGGTATAAGAGAATATTTATTATAAAACTTTTTCCTTTTTTTTTCTTTTCTGAGATGAATTTTCCTAAGTTGTCCAGGCTGACCTTGAACTTGTGATTTTCCTGATGACAGGAGAGCACCACTGCACCAGGATAGCCTTTTAAAAAATGTTTTTGAATGTTAAATTTACAAAAATGTATAATTTAAATTTTATAGTTGATAGAGATCAAAATAACTTAAGTTTGAATTTAGTTGATTATCCATTGAACTCTTGGGAATTATATTTAACAAAATTGCTTTTTGAAAAAACATAAATGATTTTTAAGATAGACATAAAAATGTCTATATTTTCTTTCTTTAATCTCTCACTACCTTTTGTTTACTTCATTATTAAGTGTTTAACTTGACTATTGGGTGGACAGTATATCAAATGAAAAATTTTCATTTGTCTAATCTAGAAGTGGTGTTTCAAATATGGAAGCCACAAACCACAGGTAACTATTGAGGATTTGTAATATGGGTAATCCAAATTTACATGTGATATAAGTTTAAAAATACACATCAGATTTCAAAGAGTATGAAAAAAGATTGCAAACTATCTTATTGATAATTTTTATATTGACTACATGCTGAAATAACATTTTGGATATACCAGGCAAGATAAAAACATATTACTAAAATTAGTTTTATCCATTTCTTTGTCATTTTTCTTAAATATTTAGTTTTTAGTTGTAGTTGGACACAATACTTTTATTTTATACATATATTTTTATGTTGTGTTGAGGATCGAACCCAGAGTCTCGCATGTGCGAGGCGAGTGCTCTACCGCTGAGCCACAACCCCAGCCCTTCTTTCTAATTTTTAATGTGGCTACTAAAAATTTGAAATTACATTGACTCACATTATACTTAGTATCAAACAGTGCTGATCTAGGAACATAAACTTGAGTGAAAAATTAGATTTTAATACTAAGTTACAGATTAAACAATGATGCCCTGTATCTAGGCATACTATCACTACCACTACTACTGCTGCAGGAAACACGAATCAGTGCAACACAAAATTTTCAATCCTCTAAACACCAGTGAGCATTTCCTATGCCAAAGACAAGAGGAAATACATCTCTATTGAAAGCAGAAACCTGCTAAATCATTTAGGTTTGGTAGTGCATGGAGACTCATGAAGGGGAAAACAAGAGTATTTCTAAAGTCTTACTTTTGCAATTTGTGACTGCATTAGCTGGAAAACCCTTTATACTAGCGAGGAGTCCTTAAATTTGAATTTTATTACCTTCATGGCAGACCTGCCTCTGGCTGTGATCTTACACATTATTTTTCTTCTGTGGAGCTCTATAGATACTCTAAGTACAATGCAGAGGAAAAAGTACTAGCTTCACAACCAAAAAAAAAAAAAAAACAAGATTTAAATTTTGTTTCTCGCTTATTAACTGTGGGACTTTAAAGCAAGTCACTGAAATTACTTCAAGCATAGAATTCTCAACTGTAAATCGAGAATACTTCCTTACTTCTAATACTTCATAAGTAGTGAAGTATTAGAAAGTATTAGCTTTAGAAATATGAGTTATGATCACCAATCTGTCAATTCCAATTTCCACGCTAATAGCCACAAAGAAGGGTTGGACATCTAAATTAATTTTAAATTGAGTCTTCCAGGTCTTTGACAGAGGAGGACGGGAGGTATTGCTGCGGTAAATCGGAAGGGTGAGGCAGCTGTAGCCAGTGATTGGGGAATGGGGATTATGAGAAGCCCAAGACTAGAAAACCTGCGTGCAGAGGATGATGCGCCCGAGACGTGCGCGTGCGGGTGCTGATTTCTAGGTGAATAAAGTGCTCTCGCTACCAGGCAATCTGTAAATTGGACCAGTCACCGGCGATGCAATTTAAGACTATTCTTTCGGAGACTTTTCATTCTTTTTAGGTCGTTGGGCAGTTGCACGGCTTGCCAGGGGATTAGCCCCACGAAATGATGCAGATCATGAAACCCGATCGAGTCAACTTCACCGTGGCCCCCTCTTTCCGCCGTGAAGTTCGGGTGTCTTCACACCCAGTCTGCTCATTACAAGCAGTGGCGGGGTTCCCTCTTCCCGCACCTCTACTCGGTTCGCGGTTCCAGCAAAGAGAGGCCTCTCTCCCCGCCTTCTTCTCTGCTGTTTTCTTTTCTTTCCCCTGCTTCCTTCAGTTTCGCCCCTGCCCTCCCCACAACTCCAGAGAAGGGAAGGGGGCACAGACCCTCTCCTCGCTGGGACGCTTAGAGGGTCTGATGAAGGGTCAGTGGTCGCGTCTTCCCACCCCCAGGATTTGTAAGTTACTTACCTTCATCTCTAAGCTCCAGCAGCCGCGCGATTTAGAAAGTGCGCAGGCGCACCGGGTCTCCTTCAAGAGGGCTACCGCGTTCCCGTCACCCAGGAGACCGAGCGAGCAGAGACCAATCCGCGAGCTCCATATGAGGGCGGGGCCCGGAGGGGCGGGGACTCGAAGGAGCCCACCACTTCGGGGAAAGGTGGGAGACGTGGCTTGGGTCACATGACATGGGCGGAGTTAAATCCCTATAAGTTGGGCGTCCTGGGGTCTTGCAGTGACTCCTCTTCCTGCGTGGGCTCTGATTGGATGAAATCCAGAGACTCGTCCCTGGGAGGCGAGAGCCCTGGAATGCTGCTGCTTTTGAACCGCCAGTGGCTAAAAACCCGGTGTATGCAGAAGGGGAGCAGAGAAGTTAAAGCCGGATAGGGAAGGGTCGGGGAAGAAAGAAAAGAAAAAGAGAAACAAAATGTTGGCTAATAGGAAAGGATTGTCTCATGGGCCAAATATTCCTACACAGTCCATCCAAAAGACAGTCTCTTTCAGGAAATAGAAATAGAGGGGTTCTTTCAAACTTATTCAAGAGATCAGCATTACACCAATACGAAACCCAAACAAAACCATAATAAGAAACACACACACGTACACTGGGGATTGAACCGAGAGATGTTTTATCAATGAGCTACATCCCCTGTCCTTTTATTTTTTGAGACAGGGTCTCACTAAGTTGCTGAGTATCGAAGTTGCTGAGGCTGACCTGGAACTCGCAGTTCTCCTGCCTCTGCCTCCTGAGTTGCTGGGATTACAGGTGTATATCACCATGCCTGATTCAGGCCAGTATTTCTTATGAACATAAATGCAAAATTCTCAATACTATATTAGCAAGTTGAATCCAACAATGTATAAAAAGTGTTATATGCCATAATTAAGTGGAATTTCTCAGGTATGCAAAACTGATTCCACAAAGGAGAGCAATTGATTTAAGCCATATTTATAGGTTAAAGAAAAATCATATGATCCAAATATCAGTAGATGCCAAAAAAGTGTTTGAGAACATCTAATATCCACTCATTAAAATTTTTAATAAACTAGGAATTGAAGGGAATTTCCCAACTTAATAAAGAAAGTTATCCATGCCCCCCACACCCCAGCTGTCAACATTGTGATGAGAAACCTGAAGCTTTCCTAAGGTCAGGAACAAGGCAATGATGTCTCCTCTTGCCCCCTATTTCAACATCATAATGGCAGTGCTGGCTAATTCAATAAGAAAAGAAATAAAGGGTAGACGGGAAAAGAAGAAAAATACGTGTTTTTCTTTGCAGGTGATATGATTGTCTGTATAGATAATATGAAAGAATGGACAAAAAACAAACCAAAACAAAAACCCTAAAACTAAAAATATACCCTGAACTAATAATCGATTATAGCAAGTTTTCAAAATACAATGTTAATCACTTTCCTATATATTAGCAATGAACAAATTGAATTTGAAATTAAAAACGATACTATTAGCACCTCTGAAATGAAATACATAGCTATAAATCTAACAAAATATGTGCAAGATCTATATGAAGAAAATGGATTGATGAAAGATATAAAAGAATAACTAAATAGAGAGTCCATGTTCATGAATAGGAAGACTCAGAATTGTTAGATGTCACTTTTCCCTAACATGATCTAGAGATTCAGTGCAATCTCAATCAAAAATCCTAGGGAGTTGTTTTGTGAATGAACTAATTCTAAAGATAATAGGGAGAGGCAAAAGGCTCAGAATAGTTAACTCTATGAAAGCAATATAATGGAGCACAAATATTCTTTTCAACATATAGTGCTGAAACAACTGGATATCCACAAGCAAGCAAGATGAATCTAGACAGAGATCTGTCACAAATATTAACCCCAAATGGATCACAGGCCTAAATGTTAAATGCAAAACTATAAAACTCCTAGAAGATAATATGGGAGAGAATTTAGATGATCTTGGGTATAATTATGACTTTTTAGATATAACATCAAAGTCATGATCCAAGAAAGAAATAATAACATACTGGATTTCATTAAAATTAAAAAATAAACTCTGCTCAAAGACCATGTTAAAAGAATGGGGAAGACAAACCACAGACTGGGAGAAAATATTTGCAAAATACACGTTGATAAAGGATTGTTATAAAAAATGTTTAAAGAACTCTCAAAACCCAGCAATAAGAAAACAAACAACCTGATTTTAAAGTGTGTTAAAGACCTGAACAGACACCTCACTAAAGAAGACATCCAGGGCTAGGGATGTGGCTCAAGTGGTAGCGCGCTCGCCTGGCATGCGTGCGGCCCGGGTTCAATCCTCAGCACCACATACAAACAAAGATGTTGTGTCCGCTGAAAACTAAAAACTAAAAACTAAATATTAAAATTCTCTCTCTCTCTCTCTTTAAAAAAAAAAAGAAGAAGAAGACATCCAGATGACAAAGACTAAAAAAATGTTGTCATTTGGAGCTGGGTGCGGTGGTGCACACCTGTAATCCCAGCAGCTCAGGAGGCTGAAATGGGAGGATCATGAGTTCAAAGCCAGCCTCAGCAATGGTGAGACACTAGGCAACTCAATGAGACCCTGTCTCTAAATAAAATACAAAATAGGGCTGGGGATGTGGCTCAGTGGAGTGCTCCCAGTGCCAAAAAAAAAAAAAAAAAGGAAAATTCTGTCATTTGGGAATTGAAAATTAAAATAACCACTACAAATCCTATTAGAATGGCCAAAATCCAAAACATTGAAAATACCAAATGCTGATGAGGAAGTGAAGCCAGAGGAATACTCATTTGTTGTTGGTGGGAATGCAGGGTGATATGGCTACTTTGGAAGATAGTGTGTCAGTTTCTTACACAACTACACATATTCTTACCACACGATCCAGAAATCATGCTTCTTGGTATTTACCAAAATGAACTGAAAACTTATGTTCACAAAAAAACCTGCACATAGATGTTTATAGCAATTTTATTCACAATTGCTAAAACTTGGAAGAAATCAAGATGTTCTTCAATAGGTGAATGGGTAAATAATCTATAGTATATCCAGACAATGAAATTTATTCAGTGCTAAAAAGAAATGAGAGATTAAATAATGAAGATGTGGAGGGGTCTTAAAGGCAAATTGCTAAATGAAAGAAGCCAGTCTGACAAGGCTCTATATCATATGTCTCTAATTATATGACATTCTGGAAGAGATAAAGCTACAGGCATTATAGTTGGTGATTGCCAGATGTTAGTGGGGAGGGAAAGATGAATAGGCCAAGAACAGGATTTTTAGGACAGTGAAACTATTCTATACAATCCTGCTGTGGTGAATACACACCATTATACATTTGTCAAAACCCACAGAAGGTACAACACTCAGAGTAAATCCCAATACAAACTAAGAACTTTGGGTAATAAAAATATGTCAGTGTAGACTCATCAATGGTATCCAATAGATCACCATAGTTAAAAAAGAATTTCAAGGGCATTCAAAACAATCCTGGAAAAGAACAACAAATTTGGAAAACTAACATTCTCACATTTCAAACTTAGTACAAGCTTTAGTAATTAAAACAATGTGGTACTGGCATTAAGATAGATACATGGGGGGGGGATAGTAGAGGATAGGAAAGGCAGCAGAACACAACAGACACTAGTATGGCAATATGTAAATCAATGGATGTGTAACTGATGTGATTCTGCAAGCTGTATATGGGGTAAAAATGGGAGCTCATAACCCACTTGAATCAAAGTGTGAAATATGATATATCAAGAACTATGTAATGTTTTGAACAGCCAACAATAAAAAATTTAAAAAAAAAGATAGATACATGGATCAATGAATTTGAGAGAAACAAAACTGTACATCTGTGGCCAATTGATTTTCAATGATTAAGATAATTAAACAGTAAAATAATTGTTTTTGGAATTCTTCCAACGAAGAATTCCAAAAAGTTGACACATTATTGTGCATAGTACATTTGTTTTCTTTTAACATGTAAGAAAATTTACCCATGGTCTGGGGTTGTGGCTCAGTGGTAGAGTGCTTGTCTCACATGTGTGAGGCACTGGGTTTGATCCTCATAACCACATAAAAATAAATAATTAGTGCTGGGGATATAGCTCAGTTGGTAGAATGCTTGTCCTGCATGCACAAAGCTCTGGGTTCAAGCACCACAATCAATCAATCAATCAATCAAATAAAGGTATTGTGTCCATCCACTAAAAAAATTTTTAAAAAAGCAAACTTACCCAATTAACATTTATAGATCTAACATTTGTAGTCTCTGCAGTTTGCTAATGACTCTGAAAGGCCACCAAGTATGGGAATTAGTAATTTTGCTGAACGTGGTATTTTTATCATAAATTTTGAGAATGGTGTGTGGCATCAAAGTCATTTACCTACTGAGCAAGCTTAGTTTTCTGTCTGGCATTTGCAACCCGCTTGGAATTTGTTTTATTCCATATGTTATCATATAAATTAATAAGTGAGTTAAATTTATTCCTTTGTGGCAAATAGTTCTCAAGTGGAGAAAAAAAACAACAACTTTATGCATCAGAGTGGACAGGTAATTAAATAGAAGGCCAGAAACCTGTACAAATGTTGACATATTCATGAGAGCATGTTCACTAAGGTCTCTAAAGTCAATAATGTCAAGAGTCTAGTGGACTGTATTTCTGAGTTTGGGATGAGGGGTTGTGGAATGTTGCAAGTGATAAGCAATTTTTAGACTATGACTATTGTCAATTTGAAAATGAAGTGGAATGACCACATTGACATTTGTATAGAACTGTTTTTCAGTCAGCAAGTATTTGTTTAACTTCTTGTATACCAGACACTCCCCCATGCCAGGTACAGAGATCAAAGGACACCTGGTCAGTCTTCAAGAAGCTACACTCTTGCATAGATAATAAACAGAAGGAAACAAATTTAAAACATTATAAATCAGGTAGGACTCAGGTTTCTGGCTTGTGCAGAAAAATGTTAATTTTAAAGATGGGCTATGTATAACTATAAA